AGACGCTAATGATGAAAATTAAATCTCCGAGATACTCCAATTAAATTATACATCAATTTAGAATCTTTAATGAGTGTTTAAGTCACACAGCAGAGTACCCAAATAAAAAGTGCTCCAGAAACATCATGTAGGGTGATACATAAAAAATAGCTCACCTTCGGCGATAGCATGAGAAAATGAACAAGCAAGTGGATTGTTTTCTTTCACTTTCCAACAAGTTACATACTGAAAGTGGTCCCCGCTCCTGTCTGTGCGTTATTTGCTCACGTCGGAGCATGCTTGCTAATACTGCTTGCAGTTCATTAACACTGATGCTGTGGATATTTTATTTGAATTCATCCAGTATATATTAATTATTGGCGTACACTTTCTGCTTTATATTTTTCCATATATGCAGATCCCATGTGGGCCAGTCCGGGGAACGTAGTGGCTATTATCCATTGCTCAGTGTATCACAATTCGTTGTTCCATAAACTCATATTATGAAATGTAACATGATACTCGATCTTACTGAAAAAAGTGGTGCATTTTCCTTCTAGTGTTAGTCAAGAAATTGTTCAAGTAAACCACAGTATTCGATCATATTGAAAAATGTAGTACGCTTTATGAAATTGTTCAAGAATGCTCAGGTAAACTTATAGTATTCACATGTAATTCGAAGAAAAATCTGTTGCTCAGAGTGTCACAGTTCGGTTTTCCATAAACTCATGTTAGTGAGTAGCAAGAAATGTGACATGATATTTGATCTTATTGGAAAAGGTGGTACATTTTTCTCCTGATGTTAGTTAGTTAAGAAATTATTCAAGGATGCTCAAACTGTAGTATTCACATATCATTCAATGAAAAAGCCATCATTTAGAGTGGCACAATTCTCTCCTCCATTATAAGTATTTCTCCCGCCTTCTTAGCGAGCCTTCGTGGTGTGGTGGTCTGCACGCTCAGCGCGTAATTGAGAGGTCCGCGGTTCGATTTCCGGTGAAGGCATTGCTGATTTATCATCTCTGCGGCCTCAAAAATACCTAATGTCTCTACAGTGGCGCCTGAACTGAAAATGGTGTTGATGGTGATTCTCCTCACCCAGGATTTGGCGACTGAGCCTCCTAAAAAACCCCAGTCGCTCTTTAAAAGGGGAAGTATATAAGGTACAGTACACTCCCGATTAACCGCGGAATTGGCTGGCGCGGCCGCCGCGATAATCCGAAAAAAGCTACAAACGGGTATAGCAAAAGAGTAAACAGTCATTCCAACTTTGAAAAATCCTTATAAGTACAATAAAACGTGAAATAAACAGCAGGAAATGTTTAACTAACGCTTAATATTTTAGTATATTACTCAAAACTAACCTAAAATGCATTTTGTTAATAAAAACAGAAAAGTGCTTTGTACTTAAGAGAGGCGTCAAGGATACGCAGAAAAATTAATACATATATGTACTGTTTTAATACTGTAATGTATTATGTAACTGCATTACTGTAAAACTACACCTTTTTGAAGCATAACTGTAAAACTACACCTTTTTGAAGCATAACTGTAAAACTACACCTTTTTGAAGAAATCAGTCATTTGGGTTTGCTTCTTGCTTTGGAAGCATTTTCTCTTGATCCGAGATTGTATTTTTCGTAGCATAAGGTTCTCGGCCAACTCCGCGTCGTCTTGTTCTTCCAAATAGCTCAGCAGTCCGTCGACTTGTTGCAAAGCCACTTCGTGAGTCTTCCGCACCTGCACAACGGGCAAATTTTTTATCGTTGTGCCTTTGAAAGATCTCTTGTTTTGACTTTCCAATGACAACAAGTCTAAGTTTATGTCCACCGGTGGCGTTACTTCAAGACATGATAGTGATCCTTTCCTTGCTGCTTTTATGACCCGCTGCTTTACTTTCCCTTTCAAATGCTAAAGTGCAAGTGGGAAGACATTTCCACAAAACTCCCGATTCGTCGGCATTGTAAATTTGTTCAAAAGATAGCTCTTCTTTTAAAACAAATTCATGGTGGAAATCGTCGGCTGCTTGTTGCTCACCACTAAGTTTCTCCCCATGAAGTTCAATTTCTCGAATTCCATGTCGCTGCTTAAAATGAGTCACCCAGCCAGAAGACACATCAAAATTTCCTTTCAGGCCTAAAAACTCAAAAGTGGTTTGTGCCTTCGCCGCAGTGTGATAGGACCATTTACAGGAGTACCCTCTTTTCGAACTTGACATAACTACTCTGTCAATGCCGTGTCTAGCTCATCAAAGGTGTTTTCATAGTTCCCTTCATAGTTTTTCGCGTTTTCATTGCGGAAGCACTGTCCGACATTGATGCAAAGTTCACCAGTTTGTCTTTTTGCTTTAGAATGTCACGCACTGTTGTTTCCACGATTCCGTAATCCAAATCCATCTGCTGCCTTGCAGCACCGTTTGCTACTTTGGCAAATTAATTCTAGTTTTTGCGCAATCGTCAACACAACCTTCTTTCATTTTCCTGATGTTTCAAATCGGTAACGAAAAAACAAAACCAAAAAGCACAAGCACTGAACACAATAAAAGATAAATTAACTCCAACTGGTTCGCAAACATCATCAGGCTTAAACTAACAATGGCGAGTGGGAGGAAGTGGACGTGTCAGTAAGATTAAGACACGAGAGAGGGGAGTGGAGTGGGCACTGCTCACTTACTCATCAGAGGGGAAGGTTCCGAGAAGGCCTGGGATATTTTTGCCATAAATAAGCATGATGTTAGCAAATTTAACGTTTCGCTCAGTTTTGTGAACATTTTTATTTTCTTTGTTTTACGCTTGTAAAAAAAAAAAAAAAAAACTTTGCGCGGCAGGCGCAGATAATCGGGAGTCTACTGTATTTCTCCCGCCTTCTTAGCGAGCCTTCGTGGTGTGGTGGTCTGCACGCTCTGCGTAATTGAGAGGTTCGTGGTTCGATTCCCGGCGAAGGCATTCTAATTTTTCATCTTGCCTGCTTCCAAAAATACCTAATGTCTCTACACCATAAACTCATGTTAATGAGTGGCAGGAAATGTGACATGACATTCGATTTTATTGAAAAAAGCAGTTCATTTCTCTTTTGGTCTAAGTTAAGAAATTTTTCACGGATGCTCAGGTAAACCATAGTATTCACATCTAATTCGAAGAAAAATGGGTACCGTATTCGTATTTCTGACATCGCATACCAGATGCCATATTTTGATCACGAAGTAATGTAATAGTCAAATTGTACACTTCAGCTGATCAGTATTCTGAGAGCCCATTATAAGGTTTCTCTCTGAAATTAACTTTCTTTCTTAAACCCTACAAAACGATCAAGTCAGTTTGTTCTCATTCTGTATAAATAACAACCGAGTTCTGAGAAGGCTTAAATAAAATTTTTTATTTGAAACTTTAAACCGAGCAAATGCACAACTAGTGCATACAAATTAAATCTCTGTATCTTCCGTGATATCAGATAACAGAAGGTGAACTTAAAATTTAAATTATGTAGGTGCTGGGGACTACAGTACAAGTCTAACAATCATTGCCTAAAATTACTAAGTGCGCGATTTATTTTGCGATTGCTTTAGCAAAATGGCTAATGCACAATACAATAACCAATTTACGGAGCTGGGTGAGAAAGTACAACAGTCAGAGTAGCTGCCTCAAAAGATTTGACCCCGTGGACACTTATCGAACATTCCAGGTACAGATCGTTATAACAATGGGTTCCCAGTACTTATTATATCATTTCCTATTATTGTTTTGTTTATCTTTTTTTTTTCTTGTTACATCAGAACAGATGTTTTCAAGTTAATTTCTGAATCTCAAATTGTATTGTAATCTCATTCTGTCCTAACTCATTTGGGATGCGAAGCATGCCGTGATATTGTACGGTGTGCTATAATAACAGACACGTTACACAGTGTACTATAACAGTGTTCCCAGCATGGTGGACAGTGTACTATGGGATTGAACAGTGCACTATAACATTTGGATGTGGAGCATACCATGGGATTGCTCAGTATTATAACAAGTAAACTCTACAGTCTATATCCTTCGGAAACCTTCAGGCGTTCATCTCCTTAGTGAAACTGTCTTTTCTTTGTGAGCTCTTAAAATGCTTACATTATCTTTTAAAGGGTAGTTAGTATGGAAAGGCATTAGCTCGTTTCTCCCATACATTTACCTGTGCGTGCCAAAGAATCTCAGTCTAAACTTTCTAAAAAAGGATGACTTCGTGGAGGACATTCTGAGGGAAAGTGGTTCCTGATCACGTTACATATGGAAAAAGGCCAAACATTCAGCCACCATATTCGCTTGGAATCAAACCCAACCTAAAAAACTACCAGTATTCAACGATCTTAACCTTTTGGCCACTTGTGCGGCTAACTGAGTAGGAAGGAAAATAAAGCTAGGACACTGCTTTAGTTAAAGACACTAAGTTGCCAGACAAGCAGTTGATAGAATAGAGAGCGAGGTGTTACAATCTCCAAATAGCACGGCGTCGGTATGACGTGATGTTTCTTGAAACTTCCAGAAATGTTTCAGATATCCTCTAAATAACAGCTGTGTTGAAGTCTATAGACTCAATCAATTCAGTTATTCAAGTCTTGTAACTGTGTTGAGCTTCTGCTCAATGATTACTTTGATCTGAAGTGATTTGTATAATCTGCAATATTCTTAGCATACTAACAAGAATTTCCTTCATCTTTGTTTTTCTCCTTCAGCTATTTATAGCTGTTTACCTTTTCTAAGAAAAAATTCTTTTCAATAAAGGGGGGAATTCTTCCTGATTACTTGGTGTAGTTATTAAGGAAATGCCCATAGTATGCAAAAGATTCATGCAAAATCTGCTGTGGATAGAGTTAAATGGTATATAATCCTTTATGTTAACACACATACAACGAAATTTTAGCAATATCCTTTTTGACTTGATCCACAAGATACAATATAGTGAGAATGTATCAAACAGAAAAAAATGTCAATATGCAATCAAAGAATAATATATCTAAAGTTTGAGTATTTATAAATAAGAAATACACATAAGTGATAGAAGAGATTTATTTACGTAAAAAATGTTGGTACACACAGTTTATGTATTACAAAAGATTTTTTATTATATAGTTACCTGTTAGAAATTATCAGTATTTAAATATATCAAATGTTTATTCATGTAGTACAAAAATAGATATTTAGTCATTCAGTTTTACTTATTTTGCAACGCACATCGCTAACTGAAATGAATGTTTACAAATTATAATTAAAGTACATATAAAATCATCTTTCAATCATAATAAATAAATATGTCATAATTTTGAGAACTTGATTTAGTTGATGAAAACTGATAATAGATACTTTCACACAAAGTATTATTAAATTAAAACATGACTTTAGCTACAAAAAGGTGTAACATTTTTAATGTTTATTTCAAACACATATACACAAAACAGAAATAAATTAAGAGACTTTGTTCATTTGCTACCAATAAATATGATAAAACCATGTTGAAATGTATAGTCATGAATTTAAGAAATTTGTTGGATGTTGCTAAACAATACAATATTCAAAAGAGAAAAATGCATATAAAACACAATATGTAATTTTTAAATTACATGAATAGCTTTTAACTGAAGTGAAAATGTGTGGAAATGTAATGTGTTAATACTAGGGACCAATCAGACCCAAGCATTTTTATTAAACAAAGAGAAATTATAACTTAATATAAATATTATATTTCATATTTAAACACAATAATTAAAATAACTAAAGGAAGGCAACTTTTAACAACAATAAAAGATTTTTAAGAGGTTTATTTGCTTAAAATCTATAATCAAAACAATGCTTAAAAATAAAAAAAAATTTCTAACAACTTTCATAATAAATATATTAAATTATAACAAACAGAAATTAAAAAATCCAAGAAAACATCCCAAAAGTTCTTTGTATTCGAAACTGACAGGATAAATAAATTCATTTTGTGTCAAATGATTACAATAACTTTCATATACATTTCTATTTTCCTGATTCTTAGTGGAATCTTTACTTTTTCAATTCAAGCACATAGTTATTCCACTTAATAATTTAAAAATAAATTTTTCAGCTAAATACATGATTTTTAGTGGTATATATTTCAGCGGTGCAGTTTCACAGGAGTGATTCGTCAGATTTTTAGAAATAAAAACCATAAATTAAAGAAAAGGGAAAAAAAAATTTGTTAGTTTAAAGCTTAATCCATGATCACAACTTACAGTGAACTTTAAATGAAATAATGACTAGAAATTAAGCATAGTATGAAATATGCAAGCTTTCTTTAATGAGTACAAATTGCATTCTTTTTCATTTACTTTAAAAAGGTTTTTATTAAAAAAGAGAGAGAGATGCTTAAGTTGGCAATGATTCACAGCTTAAAAGGATAAATACATGCTATTAATTAAAACTAGTCACAAAGAAGAATGTTTAATTATTAATTCAATATAAAGAAGTATAATTCTTAAAAATAATAAATATAAAATTATTATTTGAAGAATACATAAATTAACACATTTATTTACCTAAAACCAAAAACTAAATGCATAATTAATGTTGCAAATTATACATTAAGAAATAGCCAATAAATAAATTGTAACAAACTCAAATAAATAGTAGCACCAGGAACATGAGCATTTAAAAAACATACAAATTTTACTACAGATCATTAGTTAAGATGATATTGATTAAATATATTTTTTAATATATTCTAGATTCAATATTAACTTGATTTAAATAATGTATTCATAATTTATTAAAATCATTAAAACACACAATAATAGATTTTTTAAACAAATATTATTCACAAAAGTAAATTAATGTAGCAGTATCTGAAGGAGTTAAAAATACAGTACACACACAAATTTCCAAATATTATTTAAAAATTTATAAATTATAGTGTTGTTTAGTATATGCATACACACTAAAATCATATATAAGTATTTAATATTATATGTACTATTCTCTTTGCTTCACACTCCATTACTGATTTTAGTTTTACAATAAATACTTTAGTGCATAATAAATGTCCAATAATTTAACTTTACAAAGCGTTTCTCTTTTTGTTCCCCCCCCCAAACTATAGTCATCACCATAATATTGTTCTTTATCATTAAAATACAATAATTTTAATGTTTAATTATAATAAAATGTCTTAATATGATATAAAGTACAAAAACATTTAGAAATAGCTATATATATATACATATACACAAAAAGTAAGAAAACAGTATTTTGTTAACAGCAGAATATATACAAATATGAATGAGGTCCCTGAAAATAGAATTTATATTACTGAAAATTTTTTAAAACATTTCTGGCAACAATCTGTTTGTTCAGTTCCTATAAGCACATAATAGAAAACACATACATAAACACATAAGATAAGTATACACAGAAAAATTTGATTAGATGTTGTTCTCATTTAATAAACATATTTAAAACAATTATGAATTTCTCTAAAAAGAACTAAACTGTCTTTAGAAGCTCAACTAATTGGCTCATTACTACCTAATTCTACAAAAATATTAAAAATAGTCATTCACTATAACCAACAATCATATTAAGTAAAAACTAAAAGCTTTGGAACACTTGTTAATCCTTTAGATGGTTTTTCCCACACTGCTACAGTACCATTTTCATTTGAAGCATATATATGTTGATTGTCAGCAGAGAATGTTACACTGGGGAGGGAGAAAGAAAAACTACATTGGAATAAATTCTTCCATTTCAAGCTTTACAATAAAATATGATGTTCTGCATAAAAGTTTTGTAACAATATGAAATTGTATAAAAGCATAAAAATCAACACATGTAAACATATCACATACACTACCAAATTTCCACTTTTCAATGAAACATATAAGTAGTTCTTAAAATCATTCTCATTGGGTATCAAGGTTTATAATTTCTAAAATTAAAAATGTCTAAGCCCTAAAGAAGGCCATCAGGAATGAGGAACAAAAAATTGATAAATAGCATAATAGTAAATATAACTATGAATATGCAGTAATAAAAGTTAAATAATATGTACAACTATAGAGATAAATATTAATACATTAAATTTAGGATAAATAATACAACATATAAATGTTTTGATTAATTATTAAAAAACATAGTTTCAAATACATGCATAAAGAATTTTGATTCACCGGTCCTGCAAATTAGTACTTTTATTTAATGAGCAAATTTCTAACTCTCTAAAACAAAGCAAACTGACATTTTTTAATTTCATCTGCTTTAGATGCTTTTTTTTAAATTAACAGTTAAAGATACTTACCACCTTATAGGCAGCAAAAATTTATCACTGATAATTTCTCTCACAGGCTTCAGGTCCCAAGAACTCCATAAGCTTTATTAAAAAATATTTTACTTATTTAGATATTTGCTATGCAGAAATAATATTACAGAATAATACAGAAGTTCTTTACATTAAATAAGAATTTTTTAGAAGCATATTTAGCCATTTCATATTGGTGACCGGATAAAAGCCCACTGGACAAAAGTGCACATTAAGAAATTTCAAAAAAGAAATTCCACTGTTATAATTGCGCACACAGAAAATAACCACATGAACAAAAGCCTATGTTAGTAACAGCTCATACTGATATAAGCTTATACTAATAAAAGACCACACCGATAAAAGCCCATGAAGATACATATGCCATGCAGAAGATAATAATTTTCCCATTATTTTCAGTTTATATAAAGCAAATTCACGAAGAAATATAATACAAATTAAATTAATATCAACTAATTAAAATAACAAAACACATTTCATTTTGGGCTTTGGCTGAATTTAAGGCCTGTATATGAATTTTATATTTGCTTTATACGAATAGAGAATTTTATACTTGCTTTATACAAATAGAGAATATTTGTTAAATTCAAATGTGTGAGAGTATGTGTATAACACAGAATATTATATTTTACTCTTCAATAAGTCTGGTAAGATGAGGTCAAAAGGAATGCTGGCCAAACAACTTCCTATAATTTTTATTACATTATAAATTACTTCATAATTTCTGAAAATTTTGAATTATTAATGAATTTAATGCGTAGAAAAAAGAATTAAAGTCAAACTTTTGTTCAATGAAAGAGATAAAAATACCCTGTTGTGGTTATGAGAACTTTTCTGTGTGCAGTCAGAAATACTGTTTAAACAATGAATTAAAAATTATGTTTCAAATAATTTAGTTAAATTTTAAGTATTCTGCTTTTACATAATTCAAGAACACTTCATATTTAATCATAAAGTTTATTATTTTTAAAATTTTTATGAAGGCTAATTTTATTTTATGGGTTTCTTTTTAAAGTGGGCAAGTAATCTTATGGACTTTTTATCATGTAATCCTTCAAGTAGCTACTAGTTAATCATTATTCATTTTTTTAGAGATAGTGAACCATTAACCCCTGAGTGAAGATTAAGTTGATGAGGAGGTAATCTTTCTTAACCCATATTGAAACTGTTGAAAAGAACACTGGAGATATACTACTGCAGCATATCATAAGTGGTACCAATCTGTATGCTGCATTTTAAATCAAAGGTTGCCAAGTATGGCCTCAGGGAAGAGAATCGATAGGAAGAGGAGGCCCACCAGTGGCCGAGCGGTAAAGTCACTGAACACTGGTAGTTCGGTCCGAGGTTCGAATCCCGCGAATGGGCTGGCTGCATGGGTATTTTCGTGGTTTTCCCCACTGTAACGTGTATACGAGCCAGTTTCCCTTAGAGTCCTCTATGAAGGCATCCACTCCCTTAGGCAGATAGCCCTAGTGTGCTTTGCCATAATTAAATTAATTAAATACACCTCACCACCAATAGGAAGAGGCATTAGTTTTTGGTGAGAAATAAATTACTATTTAAGAGGAAATATACAAATTTTTATTACTTAATAAAAAAATGAAATTTGACTTGTAATTATAGTAAACCAATTTCTTCCTTTTTTCTTTTAGTCTATTTTTTGAATTATTTTATCGAAAGATTTAGCTAGAATTACCAACATGTAGAAACTATAATCTTCTCAAAAAATGAAATAAATAAAAGTATTACTGAAAATGATTTGAAAATATTTCTTAACCATTTTACTACACTGGTGGACAATTGCAAAGGACAGATAAAATGGCTATATAGTGCTTAAAAAGCAAGTATGGTTAGATGCCAAGTGAAATAAAATAATGCCAGAATACTAGGAAATAAGCATAAAGATGTGCTCTGAAGTCCAGAAGGCTTTCAAAAGTGTTCAAGGGCCAAAATGATCATTTTGTGCTGAATATGTAAAAGTAAAAAAAGTGCAATTATCATCCTCAGGAATTCTGACATAAGATGTTACTATGGAGAGAGATGCAAGATTCCACACTTTGTGTCATGCTTTGCACAATATTATCCAGCAGCTATTTGGGTAATTTATTCTATTCCTCTGTCAGTGCATATATGAAGGTGCCCTTGTTTATTGGAGGTCACTGATGGCCAGCAAGACTCCTCCCCAAAGCAACTCGGACATTTTCAATGGGATTCAGATCTGGAGAACGTGCTCGCCATACAAAGTACTAAATATCCTCACTCTCTACAAGGTACTAAATATCCTCACTCTCTAGACATTTCTGGCAGCAACTGTTTGATGACATGTTGCGTAGTTGTCCAGGAAAACAAATTCATCACTGACAGCAACATGGAACATATGAACATGATCCCAACACTACATATAAGATATAGGTCCCTTTCCTGTATGTTTGCGACTACATGCAGTACCATTCTCACATCAGTTCAAATGGCGCCTACAATCTGATGACTGACTGATTCTCATCCGAGAATAGTAGACAAGTCCAATCGTCTTCCTTCCAACTGTGATGTTGACAATGCCATCATAAAGGGGTGGAATGGTGATGTCTAGAATGCACACAACAAACAGGACAACAGACATATAGTCCTCTTTAATGCAAATGGCTGGCTACAGTGTTTTGGGAGAAACAACACTGTGGCTTGAAATAACTCTGTGGCTGATGTCAAACTCTCTAGCAACATCTGTTATTTTTCAATCTTGCCAATAATACAGCCATGTGTAAAATCATGCAAGTGATGTCAGGAAGACATATAAAAAAATGCAAGTTTGTCAACCGATTCTTTCCTGTTAAATTTAGCTCTTGGACAACAATGGTCAGTATGTGTCAAATCCTCTAATTCTCTTATCAGTGCTATCACGTGACAAACAACTTCGGCAATCCAAAATTTGCACACGCACAACATGTCTTACCGTATCCTGTACTTACACTAATTTCCAGATTTCCCTACCTTTTAATTTTGTGGTTCCTATTGCTGCTAATGTCATCTGTATCTCAGAAATTGCCCCATAAGTGTAAATAACTTTAAAGTAATCCACCAATTTTAAGTGGGTAATCCCCTATTTTAACAATGGACTGCAGACTTGAAAAATATGCAAATTCTTGACTGGATTGTCTCTTTTACATATTTTTGATGAACTAATTAGTTCTAGATTATACAGAAGTAAATACACTGTTTAAAAATAAAACTATCAAACTATTTTAAATAAATTATTAGATATCTTAAAACTTATTCAAGAGTAATATTTTCCGCTTTGGCATTTGTAAGATTGAATATGTATATACCCATTAAAATCATTTAAACAATGAAATATTCTGAACTCTGGAAAAGCAGCATTTAAGATTAAAGCTTGCAAAGCATAATAAGAAAAAATAGTAAGCATCCAGCTTAGTATGAAAACTAATCTTGCACATTAACAGTAAACTTTAATTCAATGAAAAATATGTTGCTCAATTTAAATGCTTTTTGAAGCATTTTAATCATATTTTTCATTATTCTCAACATATTTTAATTTCATACTATTACTACTAATTAATATATTCAAAAACCTTTTGTATAATATATTTAAAATGTATTTAGAAACCTAATTTCACTTCAAAATATCTCCAGATTTTTATGGCTTCGACAAAACGGTCATTGAGAGGAAAAATTCAGAAGTTGGTGCATTAAATGCTTTAAAGCTTAGAATAAAAATGCAAAATGGAAAACAGCTCATACCAAAGAGGAGAAAATATAGACTGTATTTGTAAAATAACTTACTTAACCCTTTTTAATGTACATTTTTGAATCATCAGAATGCCCATAGTAATCGTGGAAGAACAAATTATTTCACATTTCAGAATTTTACAAAGAATACTAAGAGTATGTTTTCCACAGCATGAGAATATTGTTTGATTTTGATTTATCAAAAAAGGTAAAGAAAATAATTTTAAAGCAGTTTGGGAAATGAGCAACTATAGAAAACTTGCAGTTCAAGAAATTCAGCTTTCAAGAGAAACGAATATTAGTTTGTAATAAATGTTATTTTCTTAATACAAACTTCTTAAATGTTCGTTAAACTGATTATGAAAAAAGCATATGAGAATTATCACAGACAATTCGATGATAATTGTCCCTATCATGAAAGACTCACCCACTGCCAAATGACTGCAACATTTAAACTTCCATAGCTTGGCAAAGGTTTGATTACTGGTGAACAGCCTAGCTAGATGCATGCCGCTTTCATAACTTTGATCACATACATACAAGCTAATTGCGTCACTGAAAGTTTTCCATGAAGCAGATAGCCCTCATGCCCTAGTGTTAAATGATTATGGTGGTGATTTAAAACTCATAGCCCACAATTTTTTTTTTAATTATGTACACTGGGAAAAAAAATGGGACAGTTCTATTTCTCCCATTCTACTAGGCCAATTGACGAAATTCAAATTGAGCTTTTCATGTCTCGAAAGCACGACTTAGGACATGTACTGGAATTGTATAGCATTGATCTAATATAGGTATTTTGATACAAAATCGCACTTTTCCTGAAATGACATGCCAATTTTTTTCCATATTTTGATACTAGGACTCAAATTATACCAAACTGCACAGTTTTGTAAAAAATCACGCGAGTAGTTTTTAAAAAAATTAGCTCTCAAAATTTTAGATCCTCAGTACTAATCCAATTTGGTATGTATTTATTAAGATCTCTTTTTTTTTATTATACTTACTTTATTTCTTCTTTCACAGTTCCAAATTTAGTAGAAGTATTTCGAAGCATAACTGCACAGAATTAGACCTTTTATTCAAATTTCCAAAGATATATGTGAATTTATGTATTGGCGTGTTTTGAAATTTGGCATATTTGTTGAAAGTGATAATAACATCTAATGTGGTTTACACACTTTGTTAAAATTATTTGAAAGTAGGAACTTCCTCTTATGTACAATGTAAAAAGGGAAAGAAAAATAGGTTGCCATAAATTAAGAAGTTCGACAAGTAAAATATTTTTGGCGCATACTGAAAAAATGACACGATTAATTTTTGAATTTCTCCAAAAATTTCGAACAAAATTTTTAAAAATTTTATATTTAGGGATAATTTGAGTCATAGATTGAAATATGGAAAAAAATCGGCATGTTACTTTAGAAAAAGTCCGATTTTGTGTTAAAATTCCTACATTAGAACAAAGCTATATATAAATCTAATATATGTTTTAAGTTGTGCTTTCGAGATATGAAAAACGCAATTTGAATTTTGTCAGTCGACCTAATAGAACAGGAGATATAGAACTGTTCCCCTTTTTTTTTTGTGCAGTGCACTTGTTGCAGATATGGTGCTTTTAGTTTTAGAGACATAAAGATATAAACTGAGCTTTTCAATTTGCTCAATTCAATTTTCCAGCTGTCAGCTGGTGGCACTTCAGTATTCTGAAACTTCCAGTTTTTTGATTAATGTTAAAAGTAAGTTATTAAGTAATTGATTTAACATATTGGAATTACCAGAAATAAATGTCTGTCTAAAATTTAATATTTAGCTATGAATGCACTCGAATTACAAAGAATAAAAAGTAAAAATTTCTCGCAGATATCAACTTTTAGACTTCAAATAAAAAATAAGTACAAATTTGAATTTTTTTCCCTTTTGTGTTATAATTATTATTGTTTTGTGTATTGATAAATATTCTGTAAGTGAAAATTAAAATTTATTTTTATTTATTTATTATCCTTTTTTTTTGTTTCTTTAACACTATTTAAAATTTTATTGGAAAAAAAAAAAAAAATGTTGTGGCCCATCAGCTGCTTTTCAGATCATTTATTTTATTACTAATGTTTACTAATGTTACTGATTTTTTACTAATGTTTATTTTGTTTTTCTAATTATTAGTATCAATAAAACAGTTTTGCAAATAATAGAAGATTAAATGGTTACAATTTCTTTCGACATACAGTTAATTTTACATAGCTTTCATCTACAGATGATAGTTAAAAACTTACAAAATACATACCGTATAGCTCCTGTACGAAGACCAGTAGCAATAACATTTACTGATATTCCTTCAGGAGCAGTTGAATAACAAATAGCAGTAACAATTTCAGTGATTTCCACTTTTCCCACCATTTCACCATTAATAGTGTGCACTGCCATACAGCTATTTAAACCTAAAATTTCACATAAGGCATTTTTTAAATAAATTATTAATAATTTACCATGTTTCATAGAAATTTTCAGCACTGAAAAAAATCATTGACTTAACCTTGTAAAATTATGAAAAATCAAAATAATATTTAAGGTAATTTCTACAAAATGTATTACATATGAGATCTGCTTATAAAGCATCCAGCCATTTTGAATATATTAGAAACTAGCTTTAGTATATCTTTATTTGGACAAAATTGAAATGGACTTCATCACACATTAAAACCTTAAATTATTCAACGGAAAGTGACATGCCTTTGAGAAATCTCCTGCATTGCATTACTGTCATCTTTGCAAGGAGTGAGCGAGTAGATTTGTGAACCTTAAATTAAGCAGCACAATTTTATCTGGACTTCACTCATTGAAATAGCTTTGAAAGCCTTCTTAACCACTTGCGCTAAAAAGATGTGCCATGCACGTCAAGATGCTTTTGTCTCAAACTGCGCACAAAAATGTAAATAACGTGGTGCACATGTCACCTAACAACAAGATTGTTTATTTCTCGAGTTACAGCTCTGGATTGCACTCACAGATGCGGAGCGGCGTAAGTGAGACACTTTACCGCTTGTTATATTGTAGCGCACAGCACCACAACTGTGAAGTTTAGTCGTAGTGCAAGTGGTTAATAAGTGGAATACTTTCCATATGCAAATATTAAAATTCTAAAAGTGCAGATTTGGTGATCTCCCACTAAGATTGTGAAAGTACATAGCCCTCGTGTGCTTTACCATAATTGAATAAACCAATGCACTATGATAGTAAAGACAATACAAAATCTTCCTTTCAATGAGCAACTACGTGGCAGCATGATTCTTCATGTATGTCTTTTACAGGCTTCTCAAATTTCTTGTTAAATTACACGAAAGTTACAGGAACTGTTCTCAAGATACTGAAAGTGGCTCGATACTTTTTGGATAGACCTAAATACTTACTAACTGAATCTTAAAAGTAAAAAATTATAATGGGGACATAGACCACCTCATATAACAAATTTAGAAGGAGTAAGAAGATTTCTTTTGCATAATGTGTTTAAGTGCATTGCTATTGATGGGTAGACATCTAGTAAATATTACGCTTTATTTGGCAATAACAATCTCAGAGATCAATCATTGTAAAATTGTCTCAGAGGATTTCATTTTTATATCGCTTTTTGTAATATGAAAATTTAAATATGCAAGTTTTTTAATTTATTTATTTACTGACAAAGAAAGTTGAGGTGTTTGATTCCTTTTTGTGAACAGTGAAATTACAAAACAATTGCTATTGTGAAAGGGGCTTGGTGTTCCTAGATTAACTGTTTTCTTCTTTCTCTTAAAGAATCACTAAAATTAATTTCCTTCTAATAATAAACTTGCAGTCATTTTTATCAGAACAATTAGTCTCTATTTTGCTATCACTGCCATGATCTACCATTGCAGAATGTCCAATGTTTTTGTGTGCTTCCTCCCTCCTTGCCTTCTCCATCTCGACTCCCCTTTCCTCTAGTGAAACCAGTTCCTGATTTGTTACTACTTCATATCAGGGTACTAACTGATCTGTAATACAACCTATGATCTAAATATAAAATATTTAAGGAGTCTCTAAGACTCCTTAAATATTTAACTATAATGCAAATAGCAATCTAAGGAAAATTGATTTGTGACGATCAGAGGGAGCCAAGAAGCATGAACTTTCATACAATAAGAATATATAATTTTTTAAAAAATTTACAGCGGTTCATGCTGAAAACTATTTTGAATGCAATAAAAGATTTTGTTATACTGAGGCAAAGAAAAGCACATAGATTACCTCTATGGTCAGTAATTCATTTTACTGACCATTTATCTATTTGAATGTGTAAAAGTTTTCAAAGAGAAAAGTTTTAGTAGTTTAACAAAACAATTTGCAGAATGAGAAGAACATATTAACAGAGTTTGGTTTAAAGCACAACAAACTTACCATTATCACTGACTGAAGCAATATCTCCAAGCGTGTCACTAACACATGCTAATTTAACAGCATTTTCATGACTTATTATAGATCGTACATAACATAACCTAAAAATTAAAATGAAAAACCAAGGAATTTTATTACAAGATAATGGAAATAATGGAAAATGCATATCAATATTGAAAACATTTTTAATATCTATGTACACTGACACATTGTTTGTATAGTTTAAAATATGACAACAGAATATAACTAAGATTTCAATTTTCAAGACAGCCTGAAAGGCAAGCAAGGGTAAGAAATTCTATAATGCAAATAATATTTATATACTATGTAGTTCAAATACAATTGCTTGCATTTAAAATACAGTATTCAAGATGAATTTCCAGATAAATTTTAATTCTGCCTGTATAGAAAGAAGTGAAGACAAGTACAGATATGAATTATTAGACTCAAAGATAAAAATTTATAATTCTGATAAAAATAATTTGTAAACATGCTATTATTACTAAAAAATTATTACTACAGTGCTGTAAACAGCGCTATTATTACTACTATTAGTATAAATGAGAAATCATTTGGAAGCACAAAATACATTTCTTAATTCAATAATGACAACAATTAAACAGCTATATTTTCTACTATTTGTACAATATCACAGTTCTATCTATAGGCAGTTACTTTTAATTTCATTTTTCTTGCATCTGACATTTTTGATGCATGAAAATTAGAAATTATGACACAATCTACTTTGCATATTGTTCCTTTTTAAGTCCTTAATTTGATGAATTATTATTTTAATTTTATCTATTAGTTCTATTCCTTCTGAAATGGAGGAAAAATAAAATAGAATTAAATATGCTAATATAAATGTATCAATATAAATGTATACAAATCATTCAGAAAAAGATTTTAAAAATTAAGAAATATGTCAATTTTTAAAATGGAATACTTCAAATTAACCTGGGATAAGAATTGCAGTTTGCTATAATTAATGGGCAAGAACGCATAAAAGCCAAAATTTTAAAATTTCAAATATGTCAATGTCCTTGATCCGAAAGACAAAATTCAATAATTCTTAAAGCAGTTTCTTGACTCCATACTTTAAAACAGAAATGGATACTTTTAATTTTTCTTTCAATGAATCAGGAAGTCTTTTAACCTTGCAAATTTGCAGATTATCAACGTCTTGAACTTAGCCACAGTTTTGTGAGCATTAATGGGTTAAAAGCTTGCAGATAAATAAGAAGGCCTGTAATTAACTTGCATGGCTAAAATGGCAATATATTTAGGCTGAAAAAGCTTGAAACACAGGATATTATAGTATCAAGTAAAGTAAAATGTTCATTGGTATTTTACTACAATGATTACTAAATGGTTATTAATGCTTTCTTTCCTTTATTCTTAGTTTTAATTAAACCTTATTTTTTTAATAAGCCTGAATATTTTATAAATACAAAAATAAGAGAAATATAATTTATTTAGGTACATTTTACTTATTAACAGTTTCTCTGTTAATGAATAAACATCATAATACAGATATAAGTGATAATTTATCATAAGTGTTCACAGATTTAAAATAGAAGGAATTTTAGACTGTGTGTGTGTGTGTGGTATTGAGAATGGCAAAGCACACGAGGGCTATCTGCCTAAGGGAGGGATGCCTTCGTGGAGGACTTTCTAAGGAAACTGGCTCGTATACACGTTACACATGGGGAAAACCACGAAAACGCCCATGCAGCCAGCCCGTTCGCGGGATTCGAACCTCGGACCGAACTACCAGTGTTCAGCGACTTTACCGCTCGGCCGCTGGTGGGCTTAGACTGTAATGTCAGAAGTGGTCTGAAGTGTGATGAACATCTGTTTATATATCTACATATATCTATTATAGAAAGAGTTATGATAGAACAACAATAAATCAATGTTTTAAACACACTGTTTTTGCTTCAATCTGAGATCAGTATTCTATTCTGAAAACAACTGTCTTTTAATGCATAATAAAATAATACATCATACCAGTGTTGATCCAAGACCACCAGATGCACATGTGCAAATTAAAATTGGCTGCTCTTTTTTTACAGAAATATAATGTTTGATAATCATTTCACTGCCCTTAAATTTGGCACCCCCATGTTATGCACCATTTTGCCTCCTACTAGGATTGGTCCTGCATCATATCCCAAAGTAAAAAATCTTTTTATTAAAAAAATGCATGTAAATATAATATGAATCCAACTGAAAATTTCCAGACCAATTAAAAAAAAAAAAAAAATTTTCTCTCTCTCATTCAAATAGGGCACCATCACCTGCATATTAAAATAATCTCAACTGATGCTAAAATAAACTAAATACTAAATTGTCAATACATAGGAATTTGTTTATTTAATATTTTAAATCTAATAAATTTAAAAATATTTCTTTTGAAGCTAGTAATTTGTCCATATAGATATGTTTTTAGACTTTCCCCATTTTTCTCATGCTATTTCTAATTTAGTGAAACAGATCAGCATGCTGAAAGACTTATACTACTTTGGAAAATTAGTTCTCTCTCAGAATACTCGTCTCAGTACTCTTCTCAGTCTTAGAATACGCTTCTCAGTATTTTTGTATTGGAGATTGTGGATATTTAAGCACTCAGACAATTAAAAGAATTGCTAAAACCGCTACACTTTTTTAAAATTATTTTTCCTTTAGAATATGCACATTTTACCTTACCAGAATACATAAAACTAAATATATATTATTAATTATAAGATATCTTGAAATAATTATTTTAGTTAAGCTTCACTTGCAAATAAATTTCTAAGAATAGTACATCATACTAATTTCAAATTCAGTGAATGCAATTAGTTTCACTGAATACAACATTTTAAATTCCTTGATATGGAGCATGCTCGGTACATGGATGAAGAAAGAAATTATAATATTCCTTGAGATTTCGCTCATGATATATTACATACTTTGCCACTATCATAGAGTGCAGAATATTTTAAGATTAAAAAATGCAGACTTTTCACAATATTTTTAAATAAAATACAATCATAAAAACAAAATTTTACATGTACTTGGAAGAGTTAAGCTAACTTAGATTTAGCTCATAAATTTTGAAAATGGCTTCAATAACATAAAATTTTGATTTAATGTATCAAAATAAAAAATTAACCAACAAATAAAAGGGCAGCTTTATAGGAAAATTCCATTTAACACTAGGTAACAAAAATAACAAATAATTACATATTTTTTTACAAAAATAAATAAATAAATAAAAAGTATTACCTGTTTAAATCCCATATGACAACTGCTTTGTCTACACTAGTTGTCACAAAAATGCTAAAAGCTTTACATATGTGAATTGATGTAATTTTATCTGAATGAGCTTGTAAAAGAAGTGGAGGATTTTTCTGGCTAATTGAGAACTGGAAATAATAAAATATAAAAAAATATTACAGCCACTTAATATTGTATTATTACTATCTGTACATTCATAAAAGAAATTTTTATGGTTAAAATGGCCAGAACAACATTGTAAGAAAAGTATAATCAAGTATAACTTGATTATACTTAGCTTATACATTAGCATTTTAGTATTTAAAGATGCCTCCTTCTTTTTTAGTTTTAAATTCTAATATTGCTAATGTCAACAAATAAATAATGTCTGCTTTATAAACTTTAATAATTCAGTAAACCAATGATAAAATTAAAATTATTCAAATTAAAGTTCATAAATTTAATATATTTTGAAAGGAAAATTAATACTTAAAAAATAAATACAACTTACTTTATTAGTTTCTAACATATTAATCTCTGCACGTAGTCAGTAATTTTAACAAAATAAATTGTATTGGAAACCCCAGGTAAGAAATTCTGACAAAACAATATTTTTAGTCTTATAAATGACCCATTCATTTTTTTAACCAGTCTTAGCCAAATAGTTACTCTTATATTTATTGTATATTAAAGCAATATATACAATAATTAAAAACCTTCCTCTGCAATGATAGTTTATATATATATTTTAATTTCATGGAATTTAAAAATTGAAATAGTAATAACACCGTCATTAAATGATATATTTATTGGCGGAGTTCTTAAAAAACAGAAATGACGCAATCTCTTCTTCTTTTTCTTTCTCCTCCTCTTTTTATGCGTTTCCTTTCTTATTTATTGCTACTTTAATGCTATTTGTTAAAATTCATTTATTATCAATTGCTTTGACAATAACTCATATGTTACACTACATTTTGGTAAAATAATTCACTCTGTCATTTTAAAGAGAAGTTTCCATTTTTAATATATGCAAGTTGTATACCACATAGTATTACATCAAACTTCAGCTAATTAAAATTAGAAATCTCAAAGAATGAGAAAAAACTAATATGAAGAAAATCTGAAAATATAAATACAACACAGTGTTTCAGCATTCAACCATACAATTTTGATACTTAAGACTTTATAGTCTTGAAATAACATAGGAATACATGCGTACATGTGTGTGTATGAAATAATTTGGATGTTGAGAACAAATAAATCATGGCACAGCTGTTAATGATGACAACCAATGCAGATAGAAGCAACTGCTACCATGGCTGATTTTAATTTTTTTTATTCTCACTCAAACATTTCTGATGCAACAAGCGTTACTTATAGGATATATATTAAATTTATATACAGCATTGTTCTAATGTATACGTTAACCCCAGTTGGAGTTTCAAGTGATATGTACGTACGCACAAACGCCATGAAAAATCTCTTCTGAATGCTTTTTAAATCAGTTTTATAATTCGCTTGGGAAAAAAAGAGTCCTTTATTGTATCCTTACATACAGATTTCAAGCAAAAACATCATTAAAATGCATTCGATAGCAGTCAAAATTGATATTTTCATTGAAATATGGTACCCAGAATTTTTTGTAATTACAATGCCCCCTTTACTTCATACAAGGAAATAAGTTTTATAATGATACTGAATGCCTTGTGGAAACCCTGTTGAAAGATTTCACTGAACACTCAAACAAATTTTAGTCTTACATATTGAAGTAACGTAGTAGTCTTACGTATTGAAGTACGTATTTTAGTCTTACAAGTCTTATGTATTGAAGCAGCCCCTGAGTGGGAGAAGAAAGTTTCCAAAGCTCCGTTTTGCTTTTAGAACAATAACACACAAGAGTACGGAATTTACACCTACAGAATTAGTATATAGTCAAAATCTTAGAACACCTGTAACATTATTATATGAACAATGGACAAATTCTGAAGATGAAGTAAATAATGTTGTTGAATAAGTTTTCCAGTTGATAAATCTGTTAAAAAGATGCAAAGAGATAAAATGAAAGATGCTACAGATAAAATGCTGGAAATGCAAACCGAAAGAAAAGTATTGTACGATTGTAAAGCTATTAAAAGGGAATTCTTTGAAGGAGACTTAGTTGTATTCATGAGTAAACCAAATAGATTAGCAGTTGAATAGAAAGATCCTGGAAAGGTTGAAAAGAAATTATCCAAAACTAATTATGTTGTGAGTTTCGAAGAACAAAAAGATCACAATCAAGTCTACCATGTTAATATGTTAAAACCTTAACATAAGTGAACAGAATTGGTTAACCTTATGATTACAGAAGATCAATCTGAAAATGATGATATGGAGGAGAATTTCCAAACAATTGACTTTGAACCAACATTGTTCGATTTTGAGGAAATGAAAGAAAATAGTTCCTTGAATGCTAAGCTGAATGAACAACAAATTCAAGAATTGCATAATCTATTACTGAAATTTTCAAAAATCTTCTATAATAAGCCTGAAAAAATGCATTTAACAACACATGATATTCAATTGACATAAAATAAACCGACCCACTGTAAACCATACAGAATTTTTACTAGACAAATAGATATATTAAAAACAGAAATTGATAAAATGCTTTAACATAAAATAGTTGAAATAGGAGATTCAGATTACACTTCTCCCATGATTCTGGTGGAAGTAGCAGGAAGAGACCTTGTATCGATTATAGAAAATTGAATAAGTTGACTAAAACACAATTCTTTCCCTTACCTAATATCGAACAACAAGTGGAAACTGCAGCAGCCACAAAATATATAACTCTTCTGGATTTAACAAAGGAATACTGACAAATACTATTAACACCTAATGCCCAAAGATTAGCCACTTTTGTTACACGTTTTGGCATATTTAAACCTCTATAGATGCCTTTTGGACTTAAAAATGCACCATTTTCATTTAGCAAAATGATGGTCAAAATCCTTCATGGTTGTGAATACTTAGCTGTTTCATATTTAGATGAAGCAGCAATTTTTTCAAACGCATGGGAAGAACATTAAAGTCATTTGAATGCCGTTTTGAAAAAATAAAGGATGCTGGTTTAACGATTAAACGTATAAAATGAAAATTTGCTCAAAATAGAGTAAAATACAAAGGATATATTGCAGGACATGGTATAAGAATGCAAAGTGAAGTTAAAGCTATTTTTGATTTTCCCATGTCATCCACAAAAAGTCAAGTCACAGCATTAGGATTAGTGGAGATATTATAATCATTACATTCCAATGTTATCATCCATCTATAGCAGCACTTTTAACTGAAACTTTGAAAGAAACTTAAAGAAAGGGAAAATAAATTGGACAGAAGAATCCACAAAAGCATTTGAAGAGCTAAAGAAAAAAAACTGTTGCAAAAGCCTATACTACATGCACCTGATTTCAATAAGGAATTTATTTTGCAAACTGATGCTTCAAACTTTAGTATGGATGTTATTTTAGCTCAGAAAGATGAACGAGACAAAAAACATCCAGTATTATACCTCAGTAAGAAGTTAACAGAAACTGAAAAAAAGTAATCTACTACAGAAAAGGAATGTGGTGCCATAATATTCGCTGTAAAGAAATTGCAGTGTTATTTAGACAAGCATACTAAATTCCTCATCATGACTGATCATAATCCCTTAGTTTGGCTAAAAAGTAATGTGAGTCTAAATCCACAACTTATGAAATGGGCACTGATATTGCAACCTTATAATAACACTGTCATTCATCGAAATGGTAAAAACCATAAAAATGTAGATGCATTAAGTCGTACTCCCTGGCCTGATTAAATTTTTGTTTGCTTTTCTATTTAATATAGAAAATTATTTAGTTCTTTCTTCTGACTGTACATTATTATGTTACATGTTGTATTTCAATTATGTATATGATACTGTGTTGTTTTGAAAGAAAAAATTGTGAGCTTTATAAAAATATCAATTAAAGTTTATCTGGAGGGGGAAGAGGTTGTAATAATGGCTATAATATTTTCTTACTTATATTTCTCATTTTTATACATATTTATGTCCTTAATATTGGAGTGGCAATGCCATATTTGGTATCATTTTTAATTTTGTATCTTGTAACTATTGCTAAGCAAAGTCAGAATTGTTTTTTGAGAGTTGTAAATTTGAAATTGAAAGGAGAGAAAATAAAGAGAAGAAATGGCAGCAGTGAATTGGAATATCCAAGTTTATTTTGTTAAATGCTTGAAAAACATTAGGACATATAAAATGCTAATACCCATTAAAAATACTCAAAATTATTTTTGCAAACTTATTTTCACTCTAATGCTGTTGACTGAAACACTATATTTTAATATAAATGTTTAAAACTCATTTTATTAGAAAGAAAACATACCTTTGATGGGTCCAAGTTTAAAGTATACACATATATTATTCCTGATGAATGAGCTACAAATAGTTCCTTACAATCTGGTACAGAAGCACAAAGACATACCTAAAATAATAAGAAAAAATTCCCATCTTGAGATAAATTTATGTACAAAAATTAACTATAAATCTACTAAATGCTACAAGAAAATCATAATTGACTTAAATATCATGTAGCTAATGAACTAGATGATCCAAAAATAACACAAAAAGTAAAATTCCAATAATTCAAATAATATAAAAAAAAGCATGATGCATTTTTCTCAGAAATGCACAGAAAGGTGTGGGATTTATTCCAATAATAAAAAAAAGTATTACTAGAATACTAAAAAGAAAGTAAAAATTTTTTCATTGATAGATGATATTGTAGTGGGCCCAAAGAACTGACATTTTATATAGGTCTGTGTGATGGTCTTTCAAGATTACCCCTCAAGGTGTATCCCCACAAAATGCTAATGTATAAGAACTGAAACTCAAAGAGACATCACAAATTTGTAAACTGGGCTTTTCAGCAAATGGAAAATAATCTGGACTAGCTGTCAAATGTTTTGCAGATGGATAAGATGATCTTTTTAATAAATAGAAGTATAAAACAATAGAAATTCTGCATCTGGGTAAAAGAGAAATCATGAATGATTGTGGAAATCCTTAGTGTGGTTCACTACATCATTTATTATTGGCTCCTTTAAAGAAGTGCAGCATGACATGTTTTGATCTTTTTTTTCTATCACAGCTGAGCATTAAGCAACACTGTACAGAGAGCATGATTTGCTCTCAGGCAAGTGCTCATGCAAGATGCAACACCTCCACACGAGTCCAGCTCAGCACCTGCAGCAACTGAACATTTGATAGCGTCTCACTTGTTTTTTTCTGTACAAATAGCAACCAAAGGCTCAGGCACCTGCTGGAATCAAAATTTTATGATAACTCTGTCCTCAGTCACTCTTTTTCACATGAATGGTTACCAGTGTCTCCAGACCTTACATATTGCGACTTTTAAATATGGTGCTATTTGAAGTCCCAGGCATATAGAGGTAGTCATATCGAAATTTTATTCACCATTATGTGATAGGAATTACCGCTGAATCTTCCTTAGTGTGTACAGAGTGTCAAGCCACATACGACAGCTATTCTCATGAATCATGGCCATGATAGTGAACAATTTAACCCTAGATGCATTCCAAACTGTGCTGTCCACTGTACAAACTGAAGCACCAAACTTCTGACACAATTGAAGCACCAAACTATTAATGAAAATTGTAACCACATTATGTAAAAACCACATTATGCTGCTACTACATTTTTCAAATTACTGAGTTTTTAGTTTTCATATTACTTATCACGCAGCATAAATTAAGCTTTTAAAACAATTTTTAGACTTCTAGACAGTTTTTTTTTTTTTTTTTTTTTTATTTAAGCATACTATACCATGGAATATGCTTATAAATAAAAAAAATATACTATACCATGGAGGCAGCAGGGAACAAAAGTCAAATTTCCATGAGAAGTACTACATGCTAGGATATGCAAATGATTAAAATGTTGGCCCATGTACACAATGCAGGTATGAGTAATGCCATCTGTGTATGCATGGGAAGATTGCATAGCATGTTGTTTCATATTGCACAGCAAACATATTTGACTTTAGATGCTTGTGTTAAGGTCATGTCATGCCTCAAATAAGAAGGCAAACCTCCTACCAGCGTATGCTAAAATTTGACTGTGGCAAGATCGTAACCTGTCGGGACTGCAAGTAATTGTTCTATGACCTTGCTGCTCATATTTGTCAGGATCCCATGACTATCATGTGAATATGAAATTGAGGGTTCAAGGGTACTGAATGTCATGTAGGATCTTAGCAGCCCTATACCACCAATGACCAAAAGGACAGACATGTTGTCTTCTTAGTCCTGAAGGATCGTACAGCCATACTATATACCAAGTCAGGAAGTTAACTTGCTTGCAGAATGACAAGTGGCCACACAGACAGTGTGAAAACGTTTCATGATGACCAAGGTTAAGGCCCCTTGATGCTGCAGCAGAGACTGATGTGCCTACAGTGGTGCAATAAATGATGACATTATACACAGGTGTGGCACCTCATCAAATTCGTATAGCATCATAATGGGCATGTTGGTGTGGGGAGGCACTGAAAATGAATGGTGCCAGTTTGTATTTGCCACTACTATATCAGTCTAGCACCTGATCAACAGGTATGGGGTGTCATTGGGTCACTTTTTGTTCGCACAGCCAGTAATGTGAACTTCTACTGTTATGTTTCTGACACGTTAAGTTCTGTGGCTTAACAAGTTTTTTGGGTCCTGCACTATGCCATCTTACAACAAGATAATGCATGACCTGAGCCATCCTGACTTTCCTCAATACAGTGGGTGTTCAACTGTTCCCTTGCCAGCACAGTCTCCAGATCTCTCGCTGAGAACATCTGGTCAAGGGTTGCTTAGAGACTGGGACACAACCACTCATCAGCCAATATGATTCATTACCTCTAGAACAGAGTTGAAGCCCCATGGCATGAATTACCCAAATCTATTATCCAATTCAATTTGACTCAAATCCCCACCAGATTACAGCCCTTGTTGCTGCCGGAAGTGGCAGTTCTGTGTACAGAATTCTGCATGCTAGTCTACCCCCAACCACCTGCAAATTTAATCATGTCTTCCTCTCACTATACTGTATATGTGCAACAAAATTCTGGTATTTCCTTTCCTTTCGTGGTGCAGCAATTTTAATGACCAGCAGTGCATGTAAAAAATCTATATTTTTCAATTTCTCAGAAAAATTCTTTTACAGTACTTCATTTATACATCAAACCAATGTATCCACTTAGGCTCTGCACCTATGCTTCCACATGCATTTTTTAAAAATGCTTTTAGATTTCTACATAAACATGCATTAAATAAGCATATTTTTAAACTTCTGTGATAGCTTTTGAAGTATTAATAAAATAAATCAAAATTATATTGGCTATAATTCAAAAGTACATTTGCATTTTAATATAAAAACTCCTCTGGTAAAATTCAAGATTTTTCAAACCTTGATCTTCTTAAAACTGAAGTTAATTTTTTTCTTACAGCATACCTGAACAAAGGAACAAGGACTTTAATATTCTATTACATAATTTTTAATTGATATGTATGACAAATTTATAAAAAGTACACAAAATTAAAACAACTTTTGTAGGAGCTCCACATATCAGATTGATCATATAATTAATTTTTTAGCATATGATAAATTTAAATAACTCACTGGATCTATAACACTTCCTTTCAGTAAAGGTATTGCTGGCTGATCTCTACAAAGTTTTATTCTGATAATGCCATCTTTATGACCCCAGCTCACTAAAGCAGCTGACATAATATAAGTTGCACTCAAAATATTGGAACCTGTTTAAATTATTATAATTTAAAAAAGAACACGTCAAGTTTTTCTTCATTTTATACAATATCATTGAACTGAAAAACACAACAAAAGGTGTATTTTAAAAAGCAAATAAAATAAAGACCTGCATAATTTTCTAAAGCTCTTCAAAAAGGAAATAAAAAGTTCAGTGCATTTTCTATGGTAAAAATTTTAGATATTCATAGATGACAATGCCATATTTTGATGCTAGGGAACTGTACTGTTTTAATCTGGCTTCTCATGTTATATTTATTCTAAAAAATGTTATTTAAATACATAAAATTGAATGAAATATCTCGCATTTACCAGACTAATTTAATTAAAAGCAAAAACATGAAATAAACACAACATTATAAAATGTTATTACTTGAAGATTTTATATTAGTTATTAAATTACTTTATAAATTTGAAGTCATGTCACTTGATTATTTAATGCAATGAAATTAATCATCCATATAAATATACAAATAGCAAGATAAATGCATATAATAAGACATATAAAGAACAGGTCTCAAACACTTTTTCCATAAAAACGAACAAATTCACATATATCTCGGATTTAATTAAAAAAAACTATAAATTATTTGATCAAAATACATTAATGTATATACAAATTTGAGTAGCACACAGAATAATTCAAATCTTATTGAAGTTTGCATATTGATATATTCAATTTCATTGGAACGGTTAAAAGGAATTTGATGTGGACACAATGACTTCCTTGTACAGCCTATTTAATTATACACATTTTTTGCTACACTTCATTTAAATTCATTTCTCGAATTATTCTAACTTAACACTTGGCATGCGGGAATACTTCGCCGCGAACTTATGTGTGCAGCGGGCGTTTTTTCATGAATCGCGTGGAAGTATGGTTATTCAGGAAAATCGCAGTAAATTGAAAACTACTTCGTTTTTATGAATGAAACTTTTTTTATTTTACACTTAAATATATACTACTGCATGATTATTTACTAAGAGTTTCCTTGATTGTAACAGCAGCATACATAAGTCTTGCCATGAGATTCATTTCAAACTCCACAAGATCATGATACATGATAGCATTGCAGGTTCCCCACAGAAAGAAATCAAGGCTCGATAAATCAGGTGAGCATGGGGGGCCAGGGAACCCCTCCCACTCAAACCATTGATACAGGAATGACCTGTTCATATGCCTACGGACAGCCAGTCCAAAATTAGCAGACACCCCATCATGTTGGAACCAAATGTTGTGTCTCACATTTGCTGGAATATTATCAAGTAAGCCAGGACTGGCATTCGTAGCAGTCATGCAGGATGGTGAAAGGCACGGGCTGACTAGCAGTCATCAACCAAACCTGCCAACATATTTACTGTGAATTATTGTTGTACCGCATGGTGCCACACACAGTGGGGGTTTTCTTCAGCCCACAAATGCACAATGTGCTGATTGAATATGCCACCTGTATTCAACGTGGCCTCATCAGTAAACACGTAAGCTGGGAAAACCAGATCTCTGACACTTTGTTGCAGATAGCATCGTGCAAAATGCACACATGCAGGATGATCATTAGGGAGCAGTACTAAACTCTTTTGGAGATGAAAAGCGAGTAATGACTCGCCATTCAAAGCAGGCTGTACAATGCAATGAGACACACTTAAGGCAGAGGCAAAGGCACATACACTGGTATTACGATTAGTCTCCATGGCCTTAAATGTACTTCTTTCCATATGACCAAGTGTGTCGATCATAGCCTTAAATGTACTTCTCTCCATATGACCAAGTGTGTCGATCATGGCCTGCCCTTGCTATTCATGCTACTTCTCAATGACCTGTACTCGCACAAATTTCAAAGTACACATGCAAACACAATGATGTGCAGTTGCTGTCTGTTTGGGAAGTATTCTCGATAAATTCACTCAGAGGCTTGCCCATTAACCTCAGCTACTCCATACACTAACTGCATGTCTGCAAGATCACTATTCACATAATGTTGCATGCTCTTCATATGCTGGTTACCACATGAATGAGGAAATTCTCATTTTCCCCTACATCATCCTCGTTCAGAGTACTACATAGCAGCATATGATGATGCTTCAGGTCATAGGTTGCTATGCAATTCTCAATCCTCCTTCCCTACCTCTTCTAAAAGTTTGTTGTTCCATTTTTGAGACACTCGGTATACATACGTTTGGTTACACTGATGGCAATAAAAAAGATTACACATAATAGCACAATTGCATGTTATAGCAGTCCTACATACAAGACTACAGACTACAATATAAGTCTACAGACTGCAATATTTGTTTCTTACTTTCCCTTAAAAAAATTCTTAAAAATAAATTTAGTTTATTTACGTATATAACTCAGTTCTGTAATCTGCATGCAAATTGTTCAGGAAGAATACTTAATGGCTTTACTTGTACAAAATCTGTAAATAATAAGAAAGTAATTTCAGAAGCAAATGTTTATGAATAAAAATTGCCAAAACATGAGTCTGAAAAAGTTCACAGAAAAATTTGTTTAATTTAAATAGCAATGGTATTTTTACTGCTTGAACAGATACAGTCAGGTACAAGCAAATACATAATAACTCAAAGATTACTGATGGAAGGGGGATAATGCTATGAAGAAAAATATTTGTTTATATTGAAATATGATTGAAGTAAAATATGCCTTAGATAAATTTTAGAAGAGGTGAATGCAATGGTCATGTGATTAAGAATGATGCAGCTTGCCTATGTAAAAGGTTGCTGCAATAATTGCATAAGGGAGGATATACTGCAGGGAAGGAGGAGTTACATCTTGCATGAAATTCATAAATAAACAAATTCTTTGTTGAACCTGTAGCATAACAAAATAAGGAAATATTTTCTTCTAATCTTTTATGTTTGCTATGGAAGACATAACACCTCCTAAAAAATGTCTTTGAAGGGGAACTGGATACTGATCAGAATCAGAATACTGGATGTAAAGCCCATTTGTAATTTTTTGAGACTGAAACAACTTTGTAAAACAAATGCAGATTTTCTGAAGCTAGATGCATCAACTTTAGACACTCACAGTTCTTCAAAAGTAAAAATGAAATTCATTGCTATAAAGTCTATCTTTATCAGCCTCTACATATGCCAAGAATATCAATGAAAAATCATTTTAGACTTCTTTATCTACCACATTAGTGCCCATTAGTGTCTCAATTATAAGGATAACATCTAAAAGCATTTTGCAGAATTCTCCCCCAAAACTAGCATATTTAAATTTTGTTGAGATTGCCAAAGCCCTTCACAAACTTTGAGTACTTTCAACAAAGCCCTCAATACAAGCTGTTACAATCTCTTCCAGCATTTCTGAAGTCTCACATTTTTCTTCCTGCTTGAATTGTGTGACTACCAGACTTTTTACATTTGTGAATCACCCTTTATATTACACATACAGTTTGCAAGCTTATCTACAGTCTACAGCCTGTAATTAAGAAGACTCAGTATGTTGTATCTTCATCAGTTTTATTAAAATCTTATGTAAACATTTAGCAAAAGTTCAAAACATAGTCACTTAAATTCAGGTTTATGTGAAACCGTATGAAAGAAATTCACATATTTCATACACCAATGTAACAATAACATAAGAACAAATATTCTTAAAAATCATTCAGATTACATGTAAATATTTAAAATATTCTACAAATACATTATAATTTTTCTGAAAATACATTACAGCAAAACATTGCAATTAATAAACTAGTATTTAAAGCAAATAAATAATGTGACTGAGAAACATAATTATAAGGATATTTAAAAATCACGTACAAAATATACAAATACAAAAATGGAAATATTACTAAAATAATAAATATTACCACTGTCTTTTTTATGATTAAGGAGAAGGCAAATATTTTCTCCTAATCCAAAAACATAATTAGTAAGAAGAGGAAGAAAGCTTCCAAGGACAACATTCTGTTTTCGACACCATACAAGACTTGGAATTCCTGTTGAAGGTGATCCAACATAACTTCCCCAACGAAGCCCAGTAACTGTGTCTATTACTTCCTAAAAGACATTATGCACAAACTTCATTTTATCAAAATTCACTAAGAAAATTCAACAAAGAAAGTGAAATAAAATAAATAATAAAACTGCCAAGAAGATAAAGACAATATTTCATCCATTTTATTCAATTACATTATGCACTAAATTAATTTTTTGACAGTTAATATAAAAAAATTAAGGATGACAGGAAAAATATAATAATAAACTGCAAACAAAGTAAGGGGAAATATTTCAACTAATCAAATGCATTAACTTTCTTTAATCACTATCATACCATACGTATTATTTTTAATTTTACCTCAAGAAACATATACATACATATATAAAAAAAAGTTCGATTGAAATTTTAAGAAGTTTTAAAATATATTAATTAATTTTATCCATTAAGTTTAATTTTAATGTTAAAAAATAACAGAAAAAATATTTTTTTATTTATATACATGACAAAACTACATTACTCAATCACATTACACTAACCATAGTAGAAGATTTCTCATCCATTAAACCAAGACATGAAAGAGATAATGAAACCATGGGATGAGGATTATTAAATAATTGCTTTGGCATCTGTCCCAGAGTTTTTATCATAACTTTCAAAGCTTGCTTAGTTATAGGATCTTCAGACTGGTTTACATCAAATCCATAATATGTCTGCAAAAGTATTATAAAATATGCAGGTAACTTAAGAATTTCATTGGTAGCACATAAATACAGAGAGATACACCGTTTTTATATTAATGATGTGAATACTTGACATCATTTATAAACAACATAGGATAAAAAAACTTTTACTCTGGTTAAATTTGATTACAATTTATTTCTGAAATATTTTAATAATAATTTATTTAGATAGTAACACAATATTCCTAACTGCAATATATGTAAATAAAATTAAAATACTTTTGATTTACAATGAATTTCTTAATACGATGAATATATTATTATTCATTTAACAACCTGCCTTTAAAAGAGAACATTTGACATAAAAATACAAGATATCTATTTAAAAAAAGAAGTCTGCTAAAAGAACGAAAGGTTAAAGCAATACAAAAATGTGACAAGTATTTCCAATAACAGCAATATATGAACTTGAATAATGAGACCAAATTTATAGTAATCAAAATATGAGGCACTAGGTGAAAGTTGACATCAGCAATTAATCTTGGAGTTTTCAGTATTTCGTTAGAATTTTCGTTAGTAATTTCGTTGGAAGCTAGAATGCATCATTGCACAGAAACACGACAAGAATGTGTCAAAAGGTATTTTTACATACTAAAAGCTGAGTTTAACCTCATGATTTCATAAATTATCCTATTTATAACAAGAACACCTAAATCATTATACTTTTCTAAAGCAAATCACTGCTGAAAATGACTATTATTTTTGGCAGTATAAACAAAAATTATTGGTATTGAATGCCACTCTCTTCCACAGAAATCATATGGAAACATTAATAATTGCCTTAGGTTCACTGTATTTTGCAAAATTCACTGCTATTAACCATTCCATGGCAAAAATTGTTAAATGATAAAATTTGATTCTTTGAACCACACTCTTAGAACCACATAAAGTACAACTCACATATACTAAAATCTGTAATTAAACATACCTATGAGTTACAGGAATAAGATACCAAATGGCTAAATGTCATATCATGATCATAATTATATTCTTAGTATTTGAATATAACACAGGCATATTTTGTAGTCAAGGCTAATGACTGGAATTCCACAGTGAAAATTAACTTTTAACTTTTGTTAGCAAGAGAAAGTTGGATTTAAAAATAACTTTTTATGTCATTTTAATCTACACATATTGAGTTTTAAAAAGTGTTTTACAATGGTGACTGTTTAAAAACAGAAAACTATTAAAAAGAAAGATTAAAAATAGAAAAATGTTTTTCTGACTTAAATAGGCTTTCATTTTCCCATTAGACTTTTATATGAAGTACTTTTAAAAGTTCCTAGACAAAATCCTGATGTAATTTTCACCTAACTTTTGCAGCCATAGTTTTGACTGTCAAGAGAATTTCATTATTTGATTTTTAGCATAATGCTTTCTCTTTAATATTTAAATCAAAGTTTCAGAATAAACTTTCATCATCTACAGATCTTTACAACAAATGAAGGCATGTTTTATGATGTATTTAACTAATATTATTTTAAACCTTCATCATCTATAGATCTTTACTACAAATGGAGACAAGAATTTTATTATGTATATAATTAATATATATATATATATATATATATATTAATTTGCTGAATATAAATTTAAGATATTCAACAATAATAATATTTTCTGCCTGCAATTTATTATATTTTGAATTGCTGCAGTAAGAAAAAGTAAACACAATGCTCTGATTGATTTCACTGACTAAAAGGATAATAAACTCCAAATCCAGTATTGTGCACTGGAGATAATATTAAAAGAATGTCAAGAATGCTCAGGAAGATTGCTTTCAAAGTATTCAAGTTTTAGAAAATCCAAACTTTGAGGAAGATTATCATTAAAAGCTTCCCAATTGCATGATGCTGAACTGAAAACTCTCTGCAGACAGGTGTGTCAGATATACACTTATGCAAACATGCATGTTTTTTTAGAATTTTTTTTTAATCACTAGATGGTACTCCATGTGCACAAAAGCTAGCTTGTCTGAACATATGCATTGTTGACCTTGTGTCCATGAAGTACTTTTTGATTCTGGTGATTTGTTTAGATGTATGAGCAGATGATATAAAGTAAATAAAAATCAGCTGACATGTTGTTGAAGCTTCAGGATATAAACATTGAACAGTTTTCGTTGCTTTAAATTTATTTTTTGTTTTTGCCCTATGGGAAAATTGTGAGTGGAGCTGTAGTTTTAGGAACTCCCATTTGTATTCAGTTTGCACCTTCTTTACGTAGTAGACATAAGAGTGTTCAATTAATAATGTGATGTTTAAGAGAAATAAATTTTTAATGGAAGAAACATACATTTGAATTGTAAAGTCCATGAATGTCTTTTTGAACCCATGAGTGACTATTTTGACACTGAAGAAGTGAGAATAGAGATTTTGAAGCCTAAATTTTGTCAGAGGCTGAAGACGAAGTTTGTTTTGCTTTCACCTGATAATACAGCAGAACAATAGCTACTCCATCATGAACTTGATCTGTTAAGTAACTGAAGCCTTATGAATTTAAGGGAATCACAGAAATAAACTTGCACTAAGGGGTATGCTGTCACGCAAAAGTATTAAGTACCAGTGCATATAGGATGCACCCATCATGAAGGGGTTAATACTTAACCAAATTATTATTGCAACAACATTCGAGCATTCCTCAGATTGGAATGAAAGAATTCAATGGCATAAAATAAATACTGCACCCCATAAAAGGTGCATTACAAACAATTTGCACAAGAAAAAAGTAAAAAAAAACTAAGACATTTTTCCATACTACTACAGCTGACCTAACAATGCCAACTTTGTTGCATGTTTTGTGGCAGGTAACTCTTCACAGATAATCTTATCCTGATAACAAACAGTATTATGAGTAAATAATTTCATTTTCTGCATAAAAAAGTGCATTTAGTGTGTCAGTGGATAAACCCAGTCCGAACCGAGTTAGATTCTTCCATAAAAGTGCTGAAGATTCTTTTAGTCGGTGCATTGCTGAGAAAGGTACTAATAAAATAGTCAATATTACTTTGCTAAACTCTCCAAACTTCTGTAGCTCATTTTCATCTTGTAGTCTTGACATGTTGTGACAAGTTACATCAATCTGACAAATAGCAAGAGCTTCCTTCAAATCAGTGGACTAGTAAGCTATAAATTCAGTTTCCAGTTTGCAAACATTAACAAACAGATTTTTTACAATGAAACCATATATCGAACAAAAGAAAATGAAACCTTCCTCTTCAAAGAAATGTCCAATATCTGCATGCTTCAGAAGCAGATTATTGATGGAATTTTTTTTTTCAGGATGAAACCTACTTTGTAAAATTCTCTTACTTTGGAATAAAACTGACTTATTTTTGAAGCTGTAAATCCCTTTTCCAAAAAAATAAGCTCTAGTTTTAACACTAATAGCCTGGTAAAGATCATCTGTCTGGTTTTTTCCTTCTGATCAAATTTAAATCTGTGAAACATTAATAAATTTCTTCTGAATAACATAGGTTTGGAAGCTTCTTGCAGAAGAAACACATCAGGAGAAATAAAAATTGGAAAAGAATTCCTGAAGAACAGACAAAAAACGTTTACATGGAGGATTTACTATCTGTGACTTAAATGTTAAGAAACTGTGAAATGGGAAAAAAAAAAAAAAAAAAGTCAGCAATTTTCACCAGAACAGCTTTGCACTTAAAACATAATTTCCTATGCAAATAATGATTATTGCATTCAAAATATATTTTGTTTTCATGTAGTCTTGGTGTTTATTATATTACATATACAACCTCCAATTGTCACGATTTCCATGAGTCACTAAAAATTCACAATTGCATACAGAAAACAATGCAAGATTTCTGAAAATGTTGAGGCACATAAATACAGCCACTCTTAACTACAACTCTGTCTGAATTTTTTTTTAAAAATTTTGTCTTCTGAAAGTGACATGTCTAGTATATTTAGTAAAAGTATATTTTTTAATGTACGGATAGTGTATTTTTAAATAAAAATACACATGAGGATTACATATATTTTTGTTTAATGTCTTCAACAGGCAACATTCACAGCCTGATATAGCTCACACAGCATGCGCATTTCAACATCAGCACAATAATTTGTGTCAATATATTAATTATAATGCCAGCATAATGGTAGTTTGAGTTGATATGGTATATTGATTGTGACAACAGTATAGCTGTTGAATCAACATGATATGCTGATTGTGACAACAGCAAAATCACAGCTGCTCATCTTTCACTTTTGCTCACTTCAAGTCATTCAATCTTTGCATTTTTCTCAGCAATTTTTGCCACAGTTGTAATTCCATATCAGAGGGTAGAAATCAGGAATAATTACAGGTAAATAAGTAATACTTGACATCTTTAAAATCGCTATAAGAATAATAGAAATTTCTTATAAAGTACGTAAAATATTTAGCTAGACTTTATTTAGCCAAATATTTTATGCATTTTATAAGAAATTTCTATAACAGCAAAAGAATTGAAAAGTGAAATAACAATATGTTAAAACTAAGCTAAAGGAAAAAAGAAAGAAAGAGCCTTAGAAATGAAATTCTTTTGTCAGCACAAAAAATTTTTACTTATGTGAAACAAGCCACATTAAATGGAACAATTTCAAAATAGCATAAGTTTCCATGAAACAACAGAGAGTACTTAAAAAAACCCTAGAACACTTACAGCAGGATGAAATACATTTATAGCATTTATTGCTGCTTCTCCAGTTTGCTTATAACCAAATACAAGATCAATCCAATTATTAATATTGTTTTTCACAGTTTCTGACTCTAGAGCTTGTCGGTGAATAAGGATAAATAAGCGTGGGTTCTGCTTACACCAAGGAGGCAGGAGGACATCATTTACCCGAATACCAGATTGCCGAACACCAAAGTCAAATCCTAGAAAAGTCAAAACACTCATTTTTAGAATAATATACGCTAAATGGTTTTTCTTATTTGAAGCAGAATTTGGAGAATTTAATGCACGCCGTAGAACCTGAATATCTAAAAAATATTACATATATAATTTTTATGATCAAATAACTGTGATTATGATTTTGATTTAATCTATTATAATATTAAATTATGAATTTAAACAATGATGATATGACATAGCCATTAATAATTAATTTTTAAATTAAAATCTTTCCTGAATGTTTTAATTCACATACATTATCCATTAAAACATCAAAGAAATAAATTATTAAGATAAAGCTTTAATGCATAAATTATTTGCATACAGAAATTTTACTACTAAAAGGCATACAACATTGCACTCACAGGAAACTGAGAAATGCTTACAAAAAACTTCAAATTTGTAATCAGTTCTGTATACATTAATACAAGAAAAATAGTTTATTTTCAAACACCTAAACAAGTCTTCAGATTGTATTCCTGTTTTATTCTTACTCTTGAAGAAATTATCAGGGATCCCAACCATTTTGTACCTCAAAGCACATTTTAGAATAATGGTGGGGCCACAGGTATATTTAAGTTTTCGAGATAAATTTATAGATTTGCATAGTTAAAAATAAAGAAAACATACCAAAAAACATTCCAAAAATATAATTTTAAAATATAAAACTTAATGATGGCATTCTTATGTAAAATAAATAATTACTAAATAATACAGACAAATTTTACAAATTCTTCGGTTTACAACTCATTGATACAAAAATTATTTATAAAAATATAATTCTTAAAGTGAGTATGATATTTGGCACTGCATTTCTTTGGCCATTGTTTCATAATTAGTTGATAATATTCCTGCTCAAAAGCGATCATCACATCTTGATCTTCACTTCAAGATGTCATCTTTAAGTCAAGATCTGTACTCTGATTTTGTGATATTTATTGTCGAAAACAATGATTCATGCAAGTATCTGGAATTAAAAACGATTTTGCCTTGTATGATGCCTTTTTTAGAATGGAAATTTATTTATGCCAACCACATTCCAAAAGTTCTCATCTGATACATTACAATTCAGGACAATGTTTTCGTGACGATACAGTTATAGCTAGTGACTTCATCTGCAGATGTGATATCCACAAAACCACTTTAATTTTAAACAGCTTAACAGACCCTATCAATAAAGTATATGTTTGTCTTTTCCCTGCAGCCCCAAGTTTAAATAATTCAGTTTGCATCTATCTTTGTGAGAAAAACTTAAATCCAACAGTCAACAAAAATCTGTTAGTTCAGCAAAATTTTGATTTTTAGTATTCATATATTTTTTTAATTCTTCAATTAAAGTTGTGAATCTTGCAAAAACTTTATTGAGACAAGGTTCTTCAGTGTGCAAAATGAGATCAGGATCTTTAGGATTTCTTAGCAGGGGCTCAAAAAGGCACTGTTGCACAGTGCCTGGTCGAATACAGTTTACTACTTTTGTAAATACTTTCTTGATGTGTTTGAAGCAGAAAATTCTATCACACAAAGCTTTCTGTTGGATGATACAGTGATATGATATAAAGCTGGAAATGTTTTACCTATCTTGCACAGAGCAAGAAATCCATTAACATAACCAACCACTGCCGGTATCCCATCAGTGGTTATTACCAACAGCTTCTGCAGAGGTATATCTCTCGACTTTCCATATTCTGTAACTATGTTTTACATATACTCATCTCTTGTTTGCCCTTTCATGCACAATACTTTCAATTAAGTCTTCTTTTACAGAAAATTTACTAAATAACATTACTGCTACCAAATACCATTACACTGTAACTGCTAACTTTGAATGTCTGACATACCATAAACTCATCAAAATGAAGTGAGAATCAGTCAAGTATTTTTAAATTTTAGCTTGCATGTCCTCGCTTTTCCATGTATTCGTCTTGTGACAGAGTTATTTGTCAACTAGAAGTCTTATAATGCTGACATAATCCCATGTTTATTAGAAAGTTCCTCAAATATGCAATCGGCACAAGTTAAAAATGCTTGTTTTTTAGCAATTTATCATCCTTAAAAAGATTTTTCTTCTTTGTGAGCAAGTGGTAAACTTTGAAAGAAGTGAAAATGGCATTTTACATTTAATCACAAGGAAAAACGACTGCTGAGCAAACATCAATTTCAGTTACTTTAATTTTTCCTTTTTTACTTCAGATTTAAGTGAATAAGGTCATATTAAAAGTGATATAAATTGTCTTAAAGTGATGTTCAACATTATGTTTTTTGGCACTGCAACATTTCTGCCACAAAATAAACAAATACATACACCTTTAAAAGAAATGAAACAATATGATTCTTTCCAATCAGTATTGAAATTATAGGTTCTTTGGCCTTGAGTCATTCATTCTGGGATTAAAGCAACAAAGTATACAAAAACAATGAAGTAGAACACAACAACAATATAGTTAGAGACAAATACACTAAAAATATTAACATAAAACTAGCAGTAAATCTAACAATGAATGTAGAAGTCTACCCATTAAATGTTTATTCCCCGCATAGATGATAAAACAACATAGAACAAATAACTTTGTTCTGTGCAGTATGGTGCCATCTATACAACAGTGATATACAGTAAGTAGTACACATGGTATGGGCACCTGAGCATCCATGAATGCATATTAGGAATACATGGGACTTACTAACTGCTAAGCTTCCACCCAACTGGAATTCTGAGGGAGAATACCCCTAGTGGCAGGTGGAACCATTAACCAGTGGAGGACCCACCCATTATTGGGAGGTGGATGGGTGGAAGGGGAGGTCCAAGTAACTTCCACTTCTCCTACCACCAACCTCTGGAGAGGATTTTGGCTTGCTGTGCATTCTGAGTGTCACATGATGACATATTAAAATAATACAAACAATTATGAGAAAATGCCTCACATGGCATATGGTTTTCATGTATTTGTTATAACAATATGCTTATATTTTTTACATTTATTTACATTTTTTATAACCAATTAATAGTTAACAACAGTTAATATTTGAATTTCAAATATATCAAGTTAAATAAATGAGAATTTGCTTTTAAATTAAATAAATGAGAATTTGCTTTTGTTACCAGTTATATTTTCGATAGCCTTGAAAGAATATTGTGTTGCCTATCATCTGGTTTGATTATTGCCCCTTAAAAAGCAAAAGAAGATAGTAATTGCTTTATATAATTTAATACAGCAATTAATGTCTCTATTAAAAATTCTTCAGGGTGCCACAAAACTTTAATACAATGTTAAATAAATGAGACAAATAAAAACATTTCATCACTGTCAATAAACTTCAAATATTAATCTTTAATCTTATTATAAGAGCAAGTAAGAAATATATATTACTAAATTTTTATATCTTAAATATAACAATTAAATTATGCTCACCTTTACCTTCTGCAGTATACTGAATTTATGTATTTGATATAGTATAATGAAAGTTTCATCATAGTTTTATCTTTAAAAATGAAAGTTTCATCCTTCGGTAGTATACCGAATTTATTTATTTGACATAGTATAATGAAAGTTAATTTACATTTAATTATTTGCAGACTGCAAACTACTTTTAGTTCTTACCATTTTGATTGCACAAAAACTCAGGTAAAAAGAAAAATTCTGGTATTATTTCCTTCACATCACTTGTAGTATCTTTTGTTACCAGTTGCCAGGAAGACTCAATGGAATGAAAGGCACGATCAGGAATATCAAAATTATTATCTGCAACCATAATAAAATATCAAATTTAATTTTTAGCCTGGCTCTTATTTTTTATTGATTATTGCAACAGACATAACAATCTTTAAAATGTATGTAATAAAAACAATTTTATACAAAATGGTAAATTTACATGACTAAAAAGATTTTGGGGAGAGGGCTAAGCAATGACGCATTTTTTAAGAATCTTTTATTAATAAAACAGTTATTAGTTGCATGTGCACATGCACTTCTTGCTGAGAGAATTTGAATATTTACAAAATAAAAAAAAAATCAATAAATATATTCTGACAAGCTCTAACTTTTCAGCTTAATTTTTCAATTAAAAAAAATTCAAAATCATGAACTACAAAATTTTATTTTAGGCAAATATTATATTGGGTAGGCATAAAAGCAATTTCGATCTGCACAAACAGATAGCATTGTTTTCATTTTGTTATTCTTCTGTAAAATCTTATACTTTTTTTTTTTTTTTTTTCTTTTGAGATTTGGCTGCTGACACTTTTACGCTTCTATAAAAACAAATTCCATGTATTTTTTTAAACAACTGTTAGTTTATAGTCAATTTTAACATAAATGCAAAAATAAACATTTTTGACACATTTTACTTTTTTTATTTTCACAAAGGCAAGAAAGCGGTTTAGGCTCACTAAGAGATTTGTGACGTTTATAGTGCTGATTACTTAACAGAACAAAATATGTCAGAATTGGTTTAAAATATTTCGTTCTGGAGATTTTTCACTTCAAGGTAACCAATGTTCTGGTCAACCTTGTGAAGTTGATGATGACAAAATCAAAGGAACTGAATCATCATAGAACTGTGTGGGATTGCAAAAAGATTAAATGTATCGCATACAACCATTGAAAATCATGTAAGATGTCTTGGACTTGTTAAGAAGCTTGATATTTGAGTTCTGTAAGAATTTTAAAAAAATTTACTCAACACAACGAATCAATATTTGTGATACACATTTTAAATGCAATGAAGTCTTTTTGACTAATCTTTGGAATATGGTAACAGGTAGTTTGGCGACATTTTGGTAAGGCAATAAAGGTTACTAGCTAGGACTTTAGCAGTGTACATGGATAAAGTCAAGAGTATGCGCAATGCCATTTTTGTACAATTCTGGGATGATTTTTTTTAAGTGAAAATAGGTCGACGTGTACATGGATACCATGTATGTGCAATTCTTAAAAATGTGGCAAGCAGTTTGTGATTCTGCACTTTCTCCCAATTTCGCCCCTAATCTTCGTCATGATTAAGCACTTTTGTTCCATAAAAGTTCTAGCATCAGCGGAATTCGGCTATCAGATTGTTGAGAAAAAAAAAAAAAGAAAGGTCTTTACTTCGTGAAAATAAAATAGCATCTTGGCGTCCAAACAAAAACTAGCAGGTTGCTGTAGCAGGGTTGGTCGCCAAATTTTCACCAAAAAATCACCAAGTTACCATAATCCAAAGATTAACCATCTTTTTTTCAAATAAAGTATCACTGCCAATAAAAAATAAATTGTCTAAAATAACAAAAAGTTCATGGTCCCAGCAAGACGAATCAGCACAATAATCATATTATATTGAAAGCTAAACTGCATCAGAAAAGATCATGCTGTGAATTTGGTGGAATTCCAAAGGTGTTGTGTACCTTGAGCTGTTTCCGAGCAACCAAAAAATCAACTCAAATATTTACTGCAAAGAACTCATGAAATTGGAGGAAATAATCAAAGGGGAAAAAGGACAGAATTGGCAAACAGCAAAGTAATTGAGTTCCAGCATGACTAAGCAAGGCCTCGTGCATCTTTAGCAACATGTATGAAATTACTGAAGCTTGGTTGGGAAGTGAAGCCACATTCCCCATATAGCCCCGACTGTGCACCGTAAGTTTTTGCTTTATTTTGAAACTTATGAAATGACTAAAATTTCAGTTATAACAATGACCTCAGACAGCACTCGGTTGATTTTTTTCCCTGATAAAGATCAGAAGTTCTGTGAGTGTGGAATCGCAAAGTTACCAGAAAGATGGTAAAAGGTCATTGAATAGAATGGGATATATTTGACTATTTAAAAGTTCATTTTTTATATAGAAAAATTGAGTTTTATTTTACACTAAAAAAATTTACTTCCTTGCCAACCAATAGCTATTTCCTCATAGAACGACTTTGCCATATATACAAAAATTTACACATTTTGGATGTAATAATTTATTGACTGACTGACATTACTATTAAATGATAACACTCTTGTTGCAATTTTAGACATTTCAAAATTCATTAAAGCCAACCGGAAACACTGGAAGTTTGCCCTGGTTCAATTTTCAGAAGCTGAATAGGATGGCTTTATGCTGTTTTTAGGATTTTTCACACTAGTTGAAATGTTTCTTACAGAAAGTTCTCAAAGCCCTCCTACCCTTTTTGGTTAACAGCTTTAAAATTCTCTAGCTATGTTAATTAATCTAAGATTCATAAAACATATCAGAGGTGTCTATCCATTTAAAGGGTGGAGTCCAAGATCCACTCCAAGTACAAAGTCCAAGATCCAGAATGATCTAAAATCCGGACCTCAAAGCCGCCGCCACCACCCTTTTTTTAAAGGATTCCCCTGACTTTTTTTGGCTGCTTTACACATACACATTTGATTGGCCGTAATGGGCGGCATAATTTAGGGAAGACAAAGGGAGGCATTTGGTACCAGAATTCATGTCCCACAGAGACTGAATCAGGAGGTAATATATTTAGCACAGGCCCTCAATAAGCTTTAAGTATATGTGGGAATTTATCCTTAGGACTCGGAAATGCAAATATAAATTAGTATTTTTAAAATCCATGTTAAATTTCTTGAATAATGGCAAAACTATTCTAGAATTTTTTTAAATATTTCAGCATAAAATCTGCTGTGTGGAACATCGCAAGATCATGGAAGAATGCGTCTCCAGATACTTAAAAAAAAAGGCTTGGCATAATTTCATGGCTAGCTACCATGTTTAAAGGTGAGGATGATGAAGATAATAGCCACGAATTTAAAGGTTTTCGGACATTGCAAACCAAAGGTGAAATTTTCTAATTAATAGATTTTTGTAAAGAAATTTGGGGAAACAGTAATAAATAAAGATGATATAACAGAAGTTTTTCATTGCGATGACAATGTCCCAATCATCAATCAACTGATGGATGGTGAAATCTGTAGTATGGTTCTAGACCCAGAAAATACAGCTACCAATAGTGAAGAAAGTGACAGACAGGTTATTGAAAATGAAAACAATTCAACTGACAAGTTAGCCAGAATTCTCGACACAGCATTTACAGGACTTGAACAACGGAACTTTGTAACTGAACAAGAAATTATGTCTGTCTACAGAATTAAAGAGAAAGAATTAGCACAAAAAACAAAGCAACTTAAACAACTTACATTGAGAGATATGTTTAATAAAGTAAATAGATAAATATTAATCCTCTGAGTGGCCAGGGTTTCACTAAGAAAGCACAAATTTCCCATAACTACTATGAAAACAAATTATTTTTTTGATTTTAATGTAAAAACTCTCCTGGTATTTCATACCTGGATTTGTGTACTTTTGATATATTGCCTTAATTTCTTTGAAATATTTTAATATGCACGTATGTTCTTACATATATCACAAAAAATATTTTAAGCCATATATATATAGCTTTGCTGCTTAGACGGTTAAGCTTTCTTTGTGTAAATTTTGATACCCGTTAGATCATAAATGCTTCATTATTTCATAAACCATGATTTCATATTTTTAATTTTATAATTTCTACATGCAATCTTACTAAATTTAAATGATGATCTAAAGTTTAGAAAAATCCCAAATCCAGAACTGCTGAAGTCCCGACAAGTTCGGATCTCAGACTTTGTACTGTACATAAATATGCATACCTGAGTAATATTCATAAATACAAAAACACAAGGTAAATTATTAACAAATATTTACCTTCATATTCTTAGACAATAAGTACTTTTTTGTTATTAATAATATTTTTAATCTTATTGCACAGATAAACAAATAAAAAGCTACCTTGGTATTTAATGAAATGGTATGTATAAGGTAAAAGTCTGATTAGAAAATGCAAAACAACACCACTGTTACTATAATGTGAGCCATAATGGTATGGTGCAGAAATTGGAAGTTCAGATTCTCCTGTTTGCTCTTTCAGTAACTGAAATATTAATACAATAATTTGAAATTAACTCAAGATTTATGATATTGTAATAAATTTCCTTTTCATAATTTTGAACAATTTTGTTCCATATAATTTTAAATATACTCACATTATAAAGATCACAATAAAATTTCTCTCTATATTTATGTTGGATTGCAACTGGTTTCACAAAGTTTCTAAAAACAATAATTAAAAGAAATTAGTATGAACATTAAAAACAAAAGCATTAAAAAAACAATAGGACTGTCTTTCTAAATATATATTAACGTCTTAAGTTCTCATCAGTTGATTTCATGCTATATATTTCTATGTGTAACTCAAGAATATTTGAAACTTTTCCTAAAGTTGAATTACAGGGTGTGGCTTACATATGGATTCACTAACCTCACAAAAAAAACAAAGACTTTTTCCATTAGCTGGGCGTAAATGATAAATTGCCATATATAACATTTTTTTATTTTCTTTATTTATGAAAAAAAATAATTTTAAATGAAATGACTTGTTTTATTTTTTTAACTGTTTATATTGCTGATGCGGTGCATCATCTCCAAAATGAAAATCTGATATTGATGAAATTCACACCCATCTGATGGAAAAGTATCAAAATGTACAACAGAAATAATATCAGAATGCCTTGAATAATAGATGCATGAAAATTACACTAGAAAAGGAAAATTACTTTAATACTTTTTGGGTGTTCTGAATGCCAGTTTTATACAAAAACGGAAAAAAAATTTACATAAATCTTTATGACACTTTATGTCTTTAGCTTATGAAAAGAATTAATTTCAAATGAAAATTATTTCTACTGCTTATTTGTTTCATCGCTGCCATAACGAGAAATCTTATAAAATGAAAAATCCGAGGGAAAATCTATATTTCAAATTTGTTGTACAGTAAAAGGCCTGATGCAGAAGAAATACAAGTTACTGTCACTCAGAAACATCAAACGTTGTAAACTGGCAAACGTTGTAAGGTATTTATGTTTATTAACTGGCTATTTTATGTTCCAAATCTGTACTGTCACTTCTTTCTTTACGTTTTCAATCAAATTGCAAATTAGCTTGCACGTATTTAAGTGAGGGTTTGAGATTGAAGTCAGAGCATGTTCTGCCTGCTGAAGGCCTTATTACAAGCTGTTATTCTAAGATTAACATTCTTGTGTACAGTGTTGCTTCATTCTTGCCGATAGTGCTGACATGCCAGTATAGGCTTAAGAGCCAACTTCCACATTAAAATTTCTCTGCATAGCCTTTGGCTAACAAATACATAGATTTAGTTTTAATTTAAAATCCTACTTTTGTATTTCCACCATAAATGCTGGCTGATTTGTAAGCACCAGACGTTGCCTTCTGTCCAACTTACTTAGTTTTAAATAAAAGGATATTTACACCCTTCTTAAATTCTGTTTTATCTTGGACATAGCGATGAGTCGCTTACAAGTCTATTTGCGGTTTTGCCACAAGTTACATTTAGTTTCAAGCATATTCTCTACAGTGGCGCCTGAACAACACAGGACCATGTCACAAGGAAATTCAACTTTTAGTCCTCGCCCCAAGACTTCAAACCCAATCGGCACCAGGTAGTCCTATGAAAGATTAGGCTTCACTGTGAATATCATGCGGGCCTCTATGAAATCCAAAATGATTTTAGATGAAAGAAATTTGGTAAATCTGTTTTTGAAGCATTTAATTTCATATTTTATATTATATACAGTACCAAAAATTCAAAAACTCATGATAGCAATCGCTGTACTAAGCGGACAAGCATTAAATAGATACAAATGCATTGCCAAATTCATGTTGGGTGATCCAGAAAGTGACACTTACAAATTCAAAATATTTTAAAATGCCTTCATTGAAGTGTTCCTATTGTAAAAGACAGAGCCAAGTTAGAAGCAGAACTTTTAAGAAAATACCAGTTTAAGGTTGAACTCGCCGAGTTCATACTACGGAAAATCCAAGAAATTTGAAAATATAGGTTTTTAACATCACTCTTTGATATATGTTCTCCAGGTATGTGGTAGATTTTAGTCTCAAGCTATTAATTTTACATTACACAGGAAGCTGTTTCCTTGAACTTGTTGTATTATTCATAAATTGTCTTGTTTTAGTAGTGTTTCTTTTTGACATTTTATATAAAATCTCCACTGTTGCATAACTACTCACCCACATTTAGTGAATTCTAATATGTAGTAAGGTCATGTTCCCCAATAAGTGCCATGTTTGCATTTTACTATCACTTACTATTACAACTGTTACTTAGCAGCTAAATTTGCAGTATGTAATATGGCCAAGAATGAGTAGAAATTTGGAGAGAACTTTTATGCGATTGGATGCAGCTTTTTACTTTGTTACACTTATTACACTATAAACTAAACCTTAAATAAAATTATAAATCACTGGATGTAAGTTATTTCAAAGTGTAAGAAATGTTGAAACATAAATAAAATTTAAAAATTCCATATTTATAGTTAAAAAATGTTATATGCCATGATAATGGCATAAAATGATATATTTTTTATACATATATAGACTAGAACATATCCTTTCAAAGTGACTAAAAGTTTACAAAAATTTTTCTTTCCATTTGGTAATAGAACAGCACAGGCATTATGTGAAACCAATGCAGCTAATGTAACAAAAACATTATTTTAAAGACGACACCTTTTTGTTTTTTAAAATACTGCATTAAATGTTAAACACCTAGAATAAAAATATAAAATGTCAAACCCATCAGTTCTAATTTATTTCAAATACAGCTTTACCCGACGAGACGGCTTCTGACCTAAGCTATCCTGTAGGACAACAAACAGGATGATGCCATCCCATAGAAGGAAGAAACCACCATCAGCGCACCACAGCGAAGGGCCGGGTGGCGGATCAGATGTGGTAAATTGAATGATAGTCATAAAAAAATGAAAGTTTTTGTTATGAAGACTATTGTGCCTTGTGCAGTAGGTGCTTCGTACGATTAGAAAAAGAAAAATGATTTATGTCTTGAAGGGAAAATGTAAAAAGCATTGATATGAAATTTAGGCACAGTTATCGGAAATTTTGACTTTGAGATTTTTTATTTAAAGAACTAGCATATACACCACAATTAAAGAGTACATGATTTGTGAATAAACATATTTTGACAAAATTTTCATAAAGGAACTAATAGAAAAGAGGAGCTATTTTAACATATCTAGGAAAGTTACAGAACTCCGATGTGAAGAATTAGAATAATAATAATAATAAAAAAATATTTTTTAAAGAAGTAAATTACGATGCTATTGTTGATAAGTTAAAAGGAAAATACATTGAACATTAAGGAGAAGAATAGATTCTACATCTGGCTATGGTAAACAGCAAGTGTTGAAGAGCTGCGGTGTGAAATTATTTTGTCTAGTTGGCTGAGGCTTGTTTTATATTTCATTAAATTACTGAACCACTGTGGCCAAAATTGTTTGGATGGAGTTTTTGGAAGATCTTGCACATGATAAGTACAATTGAAAACGATATGATCGGGATCGGCAATATTTCCACACTCACAAAGATTATCTGAGCTTAATCCAAAGCGATATGTACAACTGCATTTCCAAAACATGATATACTTTTATTTAAAGTATATTTTCAGACAATCATATGAACAACAGAACAACGAATGGCTGAATGACCATAAAACAAAAAGAACACAAATTACTTAACATTTAAGTATTCAACAAAAGAAAGAAGTTAGATGACTTATATTTGTGATTTGGAGATAATGTCTGAAACTAACATATTGAGAAGGAAAAGAAAATGACTTCAGAAATATTAGAAAAAAAATTTACTTTTAAAAAATTGAGTTAACAAAATTCATCTTATCAAGAAAAGTTGATATTAATTTTTAATGCTTTTTGTCAATAAGAAATTTCAAGAAAATTTTTAATTACTGAAATTCTGTGGTACATACATGCATACACATACATACCTGCATGCACAACACACACTATGTATGCTTATATAATAGTGTAAAAACAAGTAAAACATGTCATAATTCTTTAAAATAAAAACATTTAAATTATTAAACATATATCAAAGAATTACCTGTACACAGATGGATCATTGATGTTTAAGTACTGGCTAGAATAATCTGATAAAATGAATGGGAATACTGGGTACTGCATCAAATCATTAAATGAGCGGCCAGCTAATTTATTCAATTGAGTTAAATATTCAAAATTTGTAATTGTGCCTTCCTGCCATAGTTGAGTTAAAGCATTAACATCACTATACCTTTGGCATGGTAGTCCACGGCTTTCTAGCTGTTTCCAGATACACTGGAAATCCTAGAAAACAACAATATATATATATATGGTAAAAAGGAATTAAATCCTATATACAGTCTGAGATTCAGAATTTTCAGGAATTCTGAATTCTGGAAATTTCTAGATTTGAGATCATCAGTTTAATTCTAGTAAAATGGTGTGTAGACACGACACTTTTGGGGCTTCCTTTATGTTTAGGTCAGACAGAAGAATGCTAACTTCTCAACATGGCTGGCACCAGAGCTGGTGCAGCAGCACAGGGCAGTAGAATTTAAAGGATGCAAAGCTTGATGTCTATCATCAGACATTTGAATTACTAAGGATATTTTGATGCTTGTATAATTTATGCATTATTTTTTTTAGTTATTTAATTTATATATATATACTTTTGATTCATATATAATTGTATTTTAAAGAGTTTATATTATGATGCATCATTGCATATTAATTGATGACAAATTACATTTCAGTGAAAACCACACTAATGCTGATTGCTTAAGAGTCATAATTATTGTTGATGCACTGCTTATTTGTTTATTTATAAGTATCAGAAAAGTCACATACTGTTCACAGTATTCTGGTATTTGAATACAGATCAAATTAAGTAGCCATAAATCTATTTTGATTTTGTTATTGGCTTTAAATGATGATATTACTACAATTGTATCACAGTATGTAATTGCAACTTAAAAGTAAAAACAGTAATTTATTGTCTACAATTTTTAATGCATTATGACAATGGTATTTTAATAAAAAGGTTGAAAAATGGACACCAACAACTAGAAATTTGAATTCTATCAGTGGAAAATTGCATATTATTGCAAGATTTTGATTATGAGTTTAATATATTATCGAATATCAAATGTTGTCTAGCACTGAATTATTTGCATGAATGTTTGAATGAATATTATACATATATACTGTTGTCTTATTTGCTTATTAATGAACACAAAGTCAGAAAGGCTTATTACTTCATAATTATGTTTTATGATCTTACAAATTCTAACATGTGATTTTATATTTCAATACATATTTTAGTGATTCATTATTGACATAAATTTAGCAATATCCATTGTTGCCCATTTATGATTTATTCTTTATCACATTAGATTATTAATACTGATTCCAATGTTTATTTTATTAATTGATCATCTTAGTAGTGATATTTAGTTAGTTATTTCTAAGACCAAACTTTGGCTAAAACTGATGCGTAATATGTCGAAAGAAAAAAAACTTTTTATAAGTCCTCTCCATACCCATTTATTGAAAGATGTACACTGTGGGAGGGGGGGAGACAGTTCTATATCTCCCATTCTACTGGTCCGATTGATGAAATTCAACTTGCGATTTTCAGGTCTCGGAAGCGTGACTTAGGATATGTATTATATTTATATATAACATTGTTCTAATATAGTCGGACTTTTTTTGTAATACACCAATTTTTTTCCATATTTCGATTCTACGACTACAATTATGCCAAACTACCAAGGTTTGTAAAAATTGCATGAGTAGTTTGTTAAAAATTAGCTCTCAAAATTTTAGCTCCTCAATGCTCATTCAGTTTGGTATATATTTATTAATCTGTCTTTTTTTATTAAACTTATTTGATTTTTCCTTTCACATTTAGAAATTTAGGTTCATTACAAATAAAATTCACCCATTTTTTATGATTTATTTTGAAAATTTGTATTTTAAATAATTTTTAAAAATTTTTCAAAAAACATTTGAATTATAATCTATAAAATGTTTACCATCATCTTAACGTAGTCATTATAATTGTATTTCTAAGCATACCTGCAAAAAAATTACAGTTTTGTATTCAAAATTTTCGAAGATATATGTGAATTTATATATTGGTGTGTTTTGAAATTTGGCATATTTGTTGAAAGCGATAAAACATCAAATGTGGTTTAGACACTTTGCTAAAATTATTTGGAAGTAGAAATGATGGGACTTTTTCTCTGTTCATGCACAATGTAAAAAGATAAGTACGAGGTGCCTTTTTTCCTGCACCGGCATAATGGACGGGAAAGGAAAATTGGTTGCCACATATTAAGAAGTTCATTAAGTGAATTATTTTTGGTGCACACTAAAAAATTTGGGCCAAGATAAATTTTTTACTTTCTCCAAAAATTTCGCATCAGATTTTACAAAATTTGATATCTAAGCATAATTTGAGTTGTAAAAACAAAATAGGGGAAAAAATTGGTGTTATTTCAGAAAAAGTCCGCTTTTGTGTCAAAATACCTATGTTAGAACTATGCTATATAAATCTAATATATATCCTAAGTCGCTCTTTCGAGGTACGAAAAATGCAATTTGAATTTTGTGAATTGGCCCAGTAAAACGGGAGATATAGAACTGTCTCCCCCCTTTTTTTTGTGCAGTGTACATCAATGGTATCTTTATTCTCTGGAAATATTCAGAAGAAGAACTCAAAGTACTTTTTTTCCTTTACCTCTGAAAATTGAACCTACATTTTATAATTTACAAAGAAGTTAATAATTCAACAATGCATTCTTGATCTTTCAATCATAAAAACTGGTAATACTCTTCAGAATTAAATCTACAATACACAATTTAGAAATCCAAGAATAATCCCATATGATTCTTTTCCTTTTATCTGAATAAAATAGCTATCTTTTATTAAGACAAGCTAAAGAATTTTCTTCTACACCTAGACTTCATGAAAATAAATATAAGTACATCTTAAAAATTGCAACAAACAACCATCATAGTCAAAAAATTTACCAATTAAATCAACAGACAAATTTTTGAAACAGTTAAACTGCTACTGACAAGAATTTTAACAGAAGTAAATTCACTAGAACATTTGCCTGCTCCTGCTATCCCATTACCCCACATATCAATTAAATTTTCAAAAGATCTGGATATTATTTGTCATAACTCCAACCCCATCCATATGAAAGTTGTTAAGAACGAGCAAATCATGCTCTAGTGCAACAGATACATCAAGTGTGCATTGCATACCCATCCACGATGAAGGCACAAATATGAAAACTCAGTATATTGGTAAGGGGAAAAAAAAAAAAAAAAAAAAAAAAAAAAGAGAGAGAGAGAGAGAGAAGAAAGAAAGAAAGAAAAAGCAACGATATGCCAAGCAGCTCTGCAGGAAACAAACAGTAAAAGAAAAGAATCGCAATAACGACCTTGTATTTAGCATACTTATGTTAAAACAATCGATTTTGAGGGCAACTAAAGGTCTCTCCTCATCAGAAAAACAAAATTACTACAAAGGGGAAAAAGAAGAAAATAAAGCATTGACAAAGAAGTCTCAGAAACGCGTGGTCATTATCAGCACACACATGGTTGTAACCGGATTTTGAATCAGATTTACACTGGCCGCCTACTTTTACTGAGCCAGGCTATCTGATCAAACATATAACACATAGACTAGAATGCAAACAAATCAAGGAAGTCAAAAAATAGGGAAAATAGGGAGCTCTGCACCTTCATGCACCAAGACTGGACCTGTATTCATTGATCTGTTTGCGTTCTAGTCTGTGTTATATGTTTGATCAGATAGCCTGGCTCAGTAAAAGTAGGCGGCCAGTGTAAATCTGATTTAAAATCCAGTCACAACCACGTGTGTGCTGATAATGACCACATGTTTCTGAGACTCCTTTGCCAATGCTTTATTTTTTCTTCTTTTTCCCCTTTCTAGTAATTTCGTTCTCTTGATGAGGAGGGACCTTTAGTTGCCCTCGAAATCAACTGAGTGTTTTAACATATGTACGCTAAATACAAGGTTGTTATTGCAATTTTAATTGTCACATTGGTGTGTTTCTCTTCTATTCTAAAAGAAAAGAAATTGTATTGAGCTATTTATCCCAATTCCAGTTAGCAAAGCAAGATACACTATCTGCAAAAGCTTCTAACTCACTAATGTTTAAATGTAATTTTTAATGTGCCAACCTAGGATATTTTATTTTGTTTTATCTGCATGCACATTTTGATTTTTTTAACATTAGTTTTCTGAGTTTAAATTAATATATATTATTTTTACTTAAGAAAACAAAAGTATTTGCATAATTTATGTATATTTTAAATTTAAAACATTTGAATGTTACTGTCTTTTGAGTTCTTAATTTCAAATTTTCAGATTACATGCTAATTTTTTTTATTATTATTACTATTATCAGAGGAAAATACTTGTTTTTAAATGCATAGGAAGATTATCACTGCAAAATACACATATTTACTGCTGGTTTTTATTATTGACTGTTTGTGACATTTAAAATATATGTAAATAAAGGATATATTGATAGATATTCAGCCACCAAAATTTCAAACATAACTTTAGAAACTATAATAGCTATTCCAATTAGTTTAAAAGCTACTTTTCTTGCTTAGTGACACATACAATATTTTCCCATACATATTAGCATACTTTAATCATGTGCTAAATTAAATTTTTAATCTTCAATTTGCAGATAATGCTAAGAATAAAATTTTATTTGCAAATGAATGAAATTTTGAAAGCACATTTTTTTAGAAAACTGCCTAAACATTTTATGTACAAATTTTTAGTATTTTTTGAAAATTGTAAACATTTTATATTTAAAATTTAGAATTAATAACCTAAGTTTCAAAAATTTAGAACATGGTCATTTACTAGCTAATTTTTATAAAAGTCAGGTCTAATGAAAATTAGAAGTGGGTCAAGTAATTTTTTTTGGCGGGGGGGGGGGGGGGGGGGTGCCAAGTTCAACATTAGCAGAAAGTGTAAAATAGATATAATCCAAAATCACTTGCATTATTTCTTACCAAACTTGGTATTTTTTTCATAATTTAATATGAAGAATTGAATTATAGAAAAAAAAATGGCAAGTCATTTTTGAAAAATTAAAGTTTTGTATCAAAATATATATGTTAGAGCAATGCTATTTATAAATTTAACATATATCCTAAGCTGTACTTTTGAAACAAGAAAAATGCAATTTAAAGGTTGTCTATCAGCCAACGGACATCGAAGACATAGATCCCTTTGTGACTGATCCCTTTTATCCCCTTTTTTGACTCACAGTAGATACTGAAATTTAACAATGTCTGTCAGGAACTAATCACATTATTCACTAAGACATGTCTTCATAACAGTTATTTAAAATATTTTGATATAAAATCTTAAATACTAATATCTTATACAGTACAATGCTTGTAAGTCTTCAGAATTGACTGGATTAAAACAAAAGCATATCAACAACTTATAAAGGAGAACTATGTAAAAATATTGGTACAAGGTTACACTGGAGAAACTTACTTTTTGGTCACGAAAAGCAATGAGATATGTTAAGCCATTGGTAAAAAATATTTCAAAGGCATTGTTTTGCAGTTCATAGCGACGAGGCACAATTTCTTCAATGGTTTCAAATGGCCAGCTTTCAGATATTGGGTGTCTTTTTGTCTAAAACGAATGAAGGTTTAGTTTTGGAAATATTCTAGGCTCAGTTTTGAAATGCAAAAAATTAAAAATATAAAAAGAAAATTTTGAAAAGAAAAATTAAGATACATCAGTGTTCTTTTACATTCTTCAGTTAAAAAAATAAGTTTTCAAGTTATATTTACTGAACTTTTAAAAGAAATATTTAGTATTTGTTAAACATTTCAATTTAAACACATTCAAAACTTTAATAAATATTTTTAGCTAAATATTAAATTAATTTATCTGCTGATCGATACAAAAAAGAAATATTCTTTAAGTCAAATTAAAACTTGATTATAATATAAACTGCTTCATTTTCCCTCTTCTTTCATCTATTATTTGCTCATGAATTTAATAACTGCTTGGAAAAGACTGTTTTTAATCACTGACTACTATATATTTGCAAAATTTAAAAGCCTTCTTCACAATGCAGCATGATTTCTGCTTTACAATGCACACAATGTTTCAAAATTTTTTCCTTCATTAACCACATGTGTGGTGACTGGATGTGAAACAACAAACCCAGTGTAACTCATGCATGTCATAAAAGGCAACTAAAATAAGTACCCGGTGTCCAGGGTATAGCCAGGAACTCTGTCCCCTGAGGATTATATCAGGGGACTGACCTTCCAGGTTGGGAGTAAGGCCAACTACCTTACCCTATAAAAAAATACTCAGTTCAGAAACCTCAGTAAAGTGCAAGAACTGGCTTGTCTCTAACCAGACGACTCAGAAAGGAAAAGGACTTTAGAATGGATACTTGGAATATTCACACATCCTTTAAAGGTGGTGCTTGCAATACTTGCTTGATGTCCTTGCAATACAGGAAATAAAATGACTGCAACATGATATTATAGAAAAAAAAAAAAAAAAAAAAGGAATGTAGAGAGTATTCACAGATGTTGGACTTCACAGATGATTCAGTATTTCTCATTCAATTAATTCTGTCTCACTTAGAGACAAGGCAAAAATATCATAAAAAAAACTCAATATCTATATTAAAAATTACGAAGTAAATCTTAAAAACGTATTTCCTCGAAAAAAATTCCAGAAAAGGATTAAGCATGATTAAATTGGAATAATAAATGAAGCGTTATCTTTGTGTTGCGAAGCTAAGTTTCTCCAGATTGGCAACAAATCCACTAGTCTGAAGTTTTCAAAATGTAAACATCAATGGCTGCCATAAAAAAAAAAGGCTTAGCGGCACTTAAACAACTTTTAAATTGTTGGTAATTCTACAACTATTGCATGCAGATATATTAAAGGCATAAAAACCTTAATTGAAACATAAGAACAAGATAATTCAATCACTTTCAAAGGATAAAATGTACAATTTATCAACATATAAGTATAAAAAACCCTAAGCATCATGGATTCCAGGATAAAAAGCAGAGTGGATATATATAAAAAAAATATATTTATATGCATTTGGTGCGCTCAATTGCAACCAAAATACAAGGTGCACATCTACATGTTACAGCAGTCCTAAATACAAAATTTCAACGTCCTGAGGTAACTCATTTTTGAGTTATGCGAGATACATACGTACATACAGAAACCATGAAAAATTCTCTTCAGAATTCGTTTTAAACCAGTTTTATAATTTTTTGGAGGAAACGAGTCTTTTATTCTGTCCTTATGTACAGATATCATGCAAAAACATCGTTAAATTGCATTCAAAAGCGGTTAAAATGGATATTTTCCTTGAAATATGCTGCCTGAAACTTTTCGCGATTACAATACTTCCTTTTTACTTCGTACAAGAAAGTAAAAAAGACTAAAGAATACGGTATTAAAATTTACCATCTATTTATAGATTCAAGGTGGCATAAGACAGTATAAAGTGGCATAAGACAGCCAATCTATTTCAAGAAATGGTGGAGTTTGGAATCCCAACCAAGCTCATTAATTTAACTAAAGCTACACTTGGTAAAGTGATATGTAGGATTAGAATTGAAAATCATTTATCTGAAACCTTTTATAACAGAAATAGGCCTATGCCAAGAAGATTCCTTTGCTTGCCTGCTATTCAATTAGAAAGGAAAAGCATTAGAAAAGGGCATCAGAAACAGAGATTTAGACTACCCAGATATTGATATTACTGGGAGGTCAGACAAGGCAAGAATTGAGGCTTTTTCTGCTTTGGAATCTTTTGCCACAAATACAGGTCTCAACAGTCAACAAGGATAAAATCAAATTTATGAAAATTACACTATCCATGGTAACTTATCATAACCCAATGTGCAAGAGTGGCTATAGCTTTAAAAGTCTGATAAGCTTAAATATCTTAGTATTTTAATTAATGGCAAAAATAAGTTAAGAGCAGAAATTGATAATAGAATTAAAATGGGTTATAAATGCTTCTTTAGGCTATGAAGATGATTAAAATCTAATCTTATAAGTTGCAAAACAAAACTGTGGATATAAAATACATTAATACTACCTGTTTTACTTTATGCAAGTGAAATGTGGCTTTTTAAAGACATATGACACTCATTGGACATGTTTGAGAAAAAAAAGTCCTCAGAGAAAGCTTTGGCCCAGTACAGGAAGAGCGATGTTGGGGAGCAAGATATAATTTTGAAGTGTACAAGATTTATAGGCAAACACAAATAACACAAGGTATCCACAGTAATAGCTTAAGATGGCTGGGCCATGTTTGGAAAGCCCCAGAAGATAATCCCACTAAAGATCTTGACATTAAAAAAAAAAAAAAAAAAAAAAAAAAAAAAAAAAAAAAAAAAAAAAAAAAAAGATCCTGAGCTAAAGGAAGACCACTGATTAAATGATATTGAAAAAGATAGAAACTTAGAAAATTAAAAATCGGAGAGGAATCGCTGCAGATAGAAGATGCTGGAAAGAGCGCATGGTTGAAGCATCCAAGGCCTGTAAGAGGCTGTTGTGCTTCTAAAGAATTATTTTAAACAAACATGAATGTCTTTATTAAGAATAAATTCATTTTAATGTATTAAAGTTATTGAGTCTTTTAACACATTTGCTGTAAAGTAGGCATATGAAAATTCCCCAGAATCCTTTTAACAGGAAAACAAACGATTAACTTATACCTCACCATGGTCTGACACATAACTGACTATTAAGAGATAACACCAAATCACGTTTGGCCGTGAAAGTGCTTAAGGTTTCAATATATCATTTATATGAATAAATGTACATCAATTTAAAACAATTTTTTTCTGACATTTTTGGAATTGAATACGTAAACATTTTTATTGGCAAATTAAACAAATACATTATTTATGCAGTACTTCACAAAAATGTGAAACAAGAAAGAAACTAGAAATTTTATGCTTTTTTTTATATATATAAATCTTATTTATTTTTCTCATTAAACTATTTCACTTCACCTGCAAATATAAACCAAGCAGCATATTTACACAGATTACTTTCATAATGTAATGAAGCATCTGAATGATCAATAAAAAAATTTCTATACTCATATAATAATAAAAGTTTTAAAGATTAAAAATAATTATCTGAACAAAAAATAAAGTCTTAGATTATTGTCTAATAAATAAATTGTAAAATCTTAAATAAACTGTGAACTGAGAATTCTAAATTGGATTATCATGGAGCCAAATGTAATATCAAGAAGAGATGATTTTAGATTTCAAGTAATAGCTGTAGCTAGAAAAACATCTGATTTTATTGTGTAAGTATTTAAACAAAAATAACAGAAAATCTCATAAATAATATAACTTTGAAATTTTTTTAAATGCTTTTGAATTAAAATTTTGATGGGGAGGAAAACACACTGACAAAATATTCTATACTCAACCGTCAATTGAGCACAGTGATAGTCATTAAATAACTATTAATAAATGTCTAATAATTAATAAATGTCATCAATTTGAAAAATACCAATCATTTTAGAACTTTCTTATCGAATATTATGTAATATAACATGACAGATCACTTTAAACATATTTTAAATGAAGAAAATACAGAACATTTCTAGTTTTTTTATTTTGACAATTAAGTACATTAGAAAATAAATAAGTGTATAGCAAATAGAATTGCCCATTCTTTAGGTTTATCAAAAAAATTTTTTTTAATTTACTAAAAAAAAAAAAAAAAAAAGAAAAGAAAGAAAGGGATATAAATCTAACTTTGGGGTAATTATTAAAACATGATCAAGTATAGAATTTAAATGTAAGACACTGCAAAAAGGGTAAATCTAAAATGTTTGAATAATTTTTTCATTTAAAGAATTTGACTAAAACTGCTTTAATCAATCAGCCTCTATAATAAGAATTAATTATATTATGCATCCTTCCTTGTTAATAAATTATATGAGGTTAAAGATCTAAACAAAGCCTATTCTAAACCTAAGGACAAACAGTTTCACTTCTAAATGCTTGTCATGTAATTCTACACATTAACAAGATGCAACATATAAAATGGAAATTACAGATGCATTAAGAAACCTTGACCCCTCCCTATAAATGACTTTACATGGTTTATATGTCCTTAGAAAACCTGGCAAATTCTTTCACTGGCTGGATAATCATTATAGAAAAGCATATGATGACTATGTGAAGGATGCTTTTATGGAGGATTTCCTATGGGAAACTAATTTATATTCTTATAATACACAGAGAAAATCATGGAAATCTCATGCAGCTACCCAGTTCACTGGGAATTGTACCAAGGATGAATTACTACTGTTCAGCAGTTCATTCACTTGGCTAGTGGTGGGTCTACAAAATTTTTGAGAAGATGCGGCTTGAGTAATTTATTACCAATTTTTAAGTTATATATATATGCATGCAATAAGCCAATAAAAAAGTTCTGAAAGACCAGTTATTTGTTATCAAATTACATGGGTAATTTTGTATATTATATAAAAAAAACTTACAAATGATGATGTTTCTTCACCAATGAGATGAATACAACAAGCACCTAATAAGAGGAGGGAAAAGGATAATAAACATGCATTCTTCCAAATACAAAATTATTTTGCAATAGTTTAAGTTATTTATAAGCCTAAAATACTGGTCAGATGTAAACACTCTATTATAAATGCAGTTTAGCACAACATGATGAATAAAAAAATATAAAAAGAATAAAATATGGTTTACCAATTAAAATCTCAACATCACCTTCTTCAAATGCAGTAACAATCTTACACGTACAAGTAAACCTATACAATTCAGAAATTACTCTTTTAATATCAGAATTTCATTTAATACAATTATGTGATTTTATTTACTGTAATGAAAATCAATACTTGAAATGAATTACTATGGTAGAGCTTTTAAGTGGATTATATAAGCTGAAGTTTGATATTAAATAAACAGGTCTGCAAATTTACTACATCTATCTACTTTTGAAAGAATGAATAACCAAAAGCATTTACATGTAATAAAACTTTATATCATTCTCTAAGAAAAAGTAGATCATCACTTACTAAAATATTATTTAAAACTAAAGATTATTTGTGCACAGCATTTTAATTCTTTATTGCACATATTATTTTACACTTTTTAAAGTTCACATATGAAATAACCATAAATTCAAATTTTAGAAATCTGTTCTGAAAAATATTATGTGCGACGAAAAAATAAAGAAATAATAAAATATAATAATACCAGAAAAAATATGTATGATCAATAACCATTTCTAAGTTCCCAATAAGCATGTGTATTTATATTGTTTCAGAAATTTAAAACTTTTTCATATAATAAATATCCCTCCTCTAATTGTCATCATATTATATAAATTAAATTCTATGTATTACTTAAAAAGTGTTATTTTGTTATTCAGAAGCAGTATCAAAAAGACTTAATACTATTCAGTAGACTAAACTAAACTGGAACTAAAATTAAAACAAATTTTAACATTATTTTTCTTGATAAACTGTAAAATTTTATTAAAAACAACACAATATAATTGTTCATACATCAAAGAGATTTGATCTTTTTCAATTAGCAATAAATTCCTTTCCGTTACAAAATAAAGATCAGGAAAATAACAGTATGTTGTTACTAATCATTGAAGCACATCATTCTCACATTTATTTTTGATATTATAAAAGATGTTGTGTATCAGTATAAAAAGTAAACAATTTATCTTGTTTTCTTAAACATATTACCATTTTGTAGTAATATACAGGATTGCAGGTCTCATGATATATATTTATTTTTAAATTTTATGCAATTGGTTATATACTTCTTTGGTATTTTTTTTTTTTATATCATTTTATGTCCAGAAAAGAAATGATGAAACAAATGTAAGAGATTTTAAAACTGAAACTCTTTTAAGAGTTTTAATTTACTGAGCAGTATATCATTTATTTATTTAGCTATACGGCAACCGCAGATATTTTTTAATGAGAGAAATATTTATAACTTATTTAAAAATTCTTCTTTGAAGAGTATTGACAGCAATCTAATTTTTTTCATTTTATTCTACAGAAGTATAAAATATAATATATGTATATTGTAATATATAGAAGAGATATAATTTATTACTCTATTTGTTCATTCGTATGCAGTCTGTATAGAACAGCAGCAGAATCAGAAAACTCGTTATGATGTAGAAGCAAATTTTTGAATGGTTGTTTTTTCTTCAAATTCACTGAAACAAAAATATATACTTGTAGAAATAATGCAAGTAATACACAAACATATATTTTCAATAAATTAATATAGCAGTTTGAAATCACTTATATTCAAGTACAAGACTTTTAGTATAATTTACTTTCTTATTTTGTTTCCAATAAAATACAACAATTTAAATTGCCAAAAACTTAGATAAGGCTTGATGAAGATTTTTAGATATATCATCTTCATTCAGCATTTCTTTATATTTTTTCACATATTCCCACTACCAGAAAACATTTTGCCATCCTCTTCATTAAAGCCATATTATTTGGTGTATTTTAAATTTACTTTGGTGTATATCCTTGGCACCAGGTACCATCAGTTTGATTTTCAAGATTTAAAACCATACTACAGATTTTGTATTTGTGAACTGATTGATGATTGGAACATGACAATTGAACTTGATGACTGCAATAAAAGACTTCAGTTATATTCCTCTATTTAACATTTCTTCATATTGTCCATTAATCACAAAATTGAGCTTTTCACTTGTGGCATCGCAAAGCAGTCAAACTCACAACTATCCTCATCATCATGAAATATGAAAGCTAGCTGCAAACTACACCAAGCATTTTAAGAAATATCTGCAGACATATACTCTCATGGCCTTGCAGTGCTTCACATAGCAGGTTTTATATAAATATACTTCAATAATTCTTACATGATTGATTTTACAATGGTTGCAGTGAATTTAAAAAGGCAACTTTATACAATACAAAGTCTGAAATCCGCAAGTTCAACATTTGGATCTCTGAAACACCAACAAAAGTTTTTTAAAGAAACCTTTTTCAGAAAAAGACTTAGTTTTCAAGCATAATATTTTGGTTTAGCACGTGCTTAATGCTTCTTGTTCCTGACTCTTATTTCTCTTCGACACTAAATAAAACACCTCCATGCTGAAGAGATACATTAATTTATAATCATCAAATAATGTGGTTCTGTATCTACATTATTGACTGACAATACATCTCAAATTGAAATAATCTACTAAAGATCATGACTGATTTTACACCTACCGAATATGTAATATACGTAACGTTAACCTGGAGAATAATTTTTTTATCACTTTTTGTTATCACCAAGTGATTATAAACTCATAGCAGTTTGAGAAATCCCTCATACAGGAATGTCTAAAACAATTCTCTTTTCAGATATCAGTAACTGACTACTAAATAGCATGGTAAGCTTTTATGTTGACATTATATTTGGTTATGATTACAGATGTCAGTCAACAGTGCTGCGAAGTGTTGAAAAGAAGACATTTAATAGAAATTTCTTTCCATATGCAAAAAATAGATTTTCCAAAAAGTAAAATAAAGATGTTATTTTTTATTAAAATTTTAATTTTAATAAAACAGCAGTAGTAGTAGTACAGTAGTATTCTGTAGAGTGAACAGAATAATAAGCTGGATCAAATCAGAAAAATTAAGGAACACCAGCATTCATAAAAGTAGTTTTTCAACGGAATCCAGTTTTTTCTTCCTTTTCCTTTGCTGTATCACGGGGAAAAACAGTATGTGCAGCATTCTACTCCAAACAAATCTTTGAGCTTCATTTAATGTATGCAGAATTAGATAAGCTAGAAAAATGCTGCTCCCCATCCCAACACTCAAGAGCCATAAATAAGGTTTGTTAGCTGACAGATTTTAAAGGTGAAACATGCATGGAGATTCAATATTGTCATAATTAATAATGTTTCTAAAAAAAAGACACTTATAATCAGGGAAAAAAATCAATTCACATTTGTTTGACTATCAGATTCTCCATTTCTACAATTTATTTTGTTTATTTATTTTTTAAGAGAGAGATTTAGGGGGAACCATATAGATCATTCCAGTTATTAAGCACCTGGATTTTGGATCAATCTTTTGTGCAAAATTTTCCAAATTATGTATTTTAAATTAATAACTGTAAGAAGTGAAATACATTAATTACTGCTCTAGAATGAAGACATTCTCATCAAATTTTATTTTTGTTTCACTGGGAAGTGTGTGGGGGGGAGAGTACAAAATAAAATACGACACTAAAATGTTATTAATTCACTTCATCACTTGTACTCACATAAATTAGCTTTGACTGTAAATTTAAATCATGAGTATTCTTTGGATTACATGCAATCACTTTTAAAGATTGACAATTTTCTCTATGAGAATATACAATAGAATAAAATGAAGTAACAGTCATTTTTCTTTTTGCTTAAAAGCTAGTGTTCTCTTGCCCCCCTCCATACACAAAGATATAAAAACTTTAATTTTCAGTCCCGTCCTGAAATTGCAGAATTTACATTTCAAAATGAATCACATATTTAACAGTTTAAAAATTTAGTCTTCATTACAGTAATAATTTGTTATCTATGGGAGTTCTCAGAGTGTACCACAGCCAAAAACATTATAGACAGTATGGGGTATGAGAATTACAAAATTATAGGTTTTATCTGCTTGAATGGCAATATTAGCCATTCAAGCAGAATTTGAATAATCTTAGTCGAACTGATAATACTACAAATATACACAGGTTTATTTAAATATATTAACTGGGTTTAATAACTAAGTTTATTTAATAAAATCTTGATGAATACTTATGCCATCAATAAAATAAAAAGTCTTCATTGTTTCAGTCTCTGTATAATTCTTTATTAGACTTCATGTAAACTGCCCTTTTTTAAACTTTAGTCTTTTATCCATGAGAGGACCACTAAACAATGTAATCAGTTAATTCCTAACAAAGTAAAAAAAAAATCTCATTTCATAATTTTACTATGAAATCATGCTTAATAGCTTCCATTTTCATTTTATCCTGTTATGTTTTCCAGTCTTTCATAACTTTGATCAGTTCAACTTTCTTCATCAGTATTTACTTCTAATAATCATTTGTTTAATTTACTACTTTAAAACATTCTCCTCCTTCATTTCATGCTATTGCTATTACAACTGCTACCACAGCGTCATACATTTAGTTTTACTGCCAGTAACAACTTGTAGACTTAATTTTTCCAGACATTTAAAGAGGAAGGTTTCACTATTTGTTATAGAAACCAAAAAAACAGTGCAAACCCTCACTCAACTCTTGCAAATAAATTGATCTTCTTCATTCTAGCTGAAAAGCATCAAGATCTGCTATGTGTTTTAACCTTTTGAAGATGGGATGGCCATTATAGTGGCCATAGAGTCCTCTCTTTGAAAAGACAGGTTGTCCACTTTAGTGACCATATCTTTTTCCTCCATTTTCCAGGCTGAAACGTGGGGTTAAATGTCAAATTTGACGTCCTTGGGGTTTTAACCACTTATCTCTTTCAAAGGTCTTCCTTTTACGACATAGATGCACCCATCTGAAATACATTAAACTACACACAAGAATCTTTGTTACAAATAAGAGGTGATTTTTTAAAGGGGGAAAAGCATTTGGTTCAAGATTCGCCGTCCTTTGGTAGCTTTTATTGCTACCAAAGTCCCGGCCTCAAAAGGTTAAAGTAGAGAGTGAAATTGGAGACAAAAAATAAACAAAAGCAGTTACAGTAAAACACATGAATAACAACAAATTATACAAAATTTTAAAAACTGTATAGATTTCAATGTTGTTTTTCATGATTTACTCGAGTCTTCCTTGATTGTGAATAAATGAAATCATGGATAACAAAGAAAATTACTGCACTACATTTCTGTAATATACACATAGCATTTTCTTGAGAGCAAATCAAGCAAAAACTAGATTTATTCTCTTTAAATATAATTTGTACACAACATTATACATTAAATGCAAGCAACCTGTAAATTAAAATACTGGACAAAATTATATATTACACAATTTTTCAGCTAATTCTGGTTTCAAAAATCGGGGTTCAATGTCAATGTAGCAACGCCTTAACCTTCTCCGGACTCTGAACGGCCCTTCAGTTGGATCAAGCTCCCATGAATAAGGGTATGATTCTTTAATGTGCCATACTGCTCTGTAATGAAAATAAATGAATATTTAAAAAACACAAGAAATAATAAATATTAACTAGTAATTTTCAGTCCTACAACAAAATGAAATTTTGGTTAAAAATATATAATGTGAACATAAAAAAATTTATGATATAAAAATCATCACATGACAATCAAACAATTTACCAAAATTTCAGCCTTTGTACATATACATATTATGAGTGACTCACAAAAAAATATGTTTATTTCAAAATAAGAGATTAGTAAAGAAGATTTTGCAACAAATGACTTTAACATATTAAATTTAAAATATTGCTATATTTATTCTGAAATTAAATCAATTATATGATTTAAACATAAAAATTAAAATAACATGAAGTGCGACAAATCCTAAATTTTATTGAATCCAAATCATAAAAAGTACCTAAATCTCTTGAATCTTTCAATTAAAAATAATAATCAGAATTTGTTTACTTAATATTAAAATATTTTAAATGAATTTGAAACCAGCATTTAATAAAAAATTAAACACATGATTTCTGAAGATACACCTATATTCATCAAGAAGATACAAATTAAATTTTGTAAATAATGTCCACTACTAAAATACTTGAATCCTGATTTTCACTTTCTTAAGACAATTCGTTAGAAGATATTTAACAATTTAGATTTCAATTTAGAGTTAAAAATTCAACAACTATGCTTCAGTAGTTCACCTGGTGGCAAATGAGTTATGTGTTTATATATGATGAGTTGCTAAACCAGATTATCTATGACCAGAACTATCAAGAAGATTTAAGAATTAGTTTCAATAATCACTAAGGAAGCACAATGCACTCTTTACTCAAAAATTCTGGCAGATTTTGCTTGAAGGCATTTTGAAGTAATGTGGCACTCAGGGCTATAATAAGGTGATAATCATAATGCAGATATCACAGAAATTGCAATAACTGCTATTTTTTCTTAATGAAAGCTTCTATTCTTCTATTATAAGTCTGAAACTAATCTTTCTAAACTTTTGAGTTAAAAAATTTAACTGTTTTATAAGTTATGATATAAATTATTTGAAGGGTGGAATATGCATAAAGTTTAAAATATTTGAATCTTTTTCAAGGTCCAAAGATCAAGATTTTCAAAGGGTTTAAGGATTTGAATGCCTCACATCCCTGAAAATTATATATAATGAACATATTCAAAGCATTCAACCATAAATTAATGTTATGCAATATTATGAACACATACTCAAACAGTATATTCATTTTGAAGAACTTTTTAAATATTTACTGAAAAAATGCCAAAATTTTTTTGACAAGATAATATTTTCCTCTTGATAAAACATGGATGAATAAGTGAATAAAATTAGAAATACCTTTCATGCATCATTTGCTCGGATAACTTCAACCAACTCATCCGTTCTGATGCTTCTTCATAATATTTACGTTTTAATTCTTCTATAAAAACTTTCCTTTCATCAGTTTGCATTTTAAAAATATTTTGTGTGACATTTAAGGCAAATGCAGAGACTTCCTGGGATAGCTTTTCCATTTTTTTATGAATTCTGCAACAAAATAAAAATGATCAGAATCTAAAATTTTATACTTAATGCAAATATTCACAGAAAAAATAGTTGCTTCAATAGCACAGCGACTTCCGCTGCTCATGGATTTTAAAATTTTGGTACAGCATTACTTAAGCAAAACATATATACATTTTACAAGAAAATTACAGGAAATCTTTAAATTCAGATTCTCCAGTGTTAAGTTGGAGCAAAAATCCAAGTAGTGGTGAAACAGAAGTACCAAAACAATATTTTTATAATTAAAAAGCTTGTCTTAGTATGGATGATAAAAGAAGATGTAACAAAGTTAAAAAAATTCAGTACAATATAATAGACAACATAGATAGCTTATTGCTAATAATTTTGATATCAACTATGCCATATTCAGAATACTGATTATATGACATACCTATCACATCATTCAACAGCTTTCATTCCCCTCTGATCATAAAAAAAAAAAATAATAATAATAATACATGGCGATAATATTTGGTAGCAACAGTTTGAAAAGTGATTCAACGCAAAATCCTGTTTCGAAAATAACAGCCCTTCTGAGCTAATGCTCCTGTGGGTTTTAAAAAACAAAATCTCAAAGCTTTCAAATTTTATATTATGCTCAAAGGGGTGTTTTTCTAACGTTTTGTGTGTTACCTTTATTTATTAAATGTCATGTTCTTCGCACTTAAACCATGAAATTCAGCGCAATATCACAAAATAATAAAAAATCTTTAGAACTTATGATACACAATTTCGCATGTTGGAGATGGAATTTTTTTTGTATAGTTTTGCCTCAGCTTGCTTTGAATTTGTTGAGTTTGTTAATGAAAAATTCGTTAAAGGTTTACAAGATATGGAATAGATAATAAAAAAAAATTCCAAATTCCGGCTTCCAGATGCCCATATTCAAGTGGAGGACTATGTTATTCAAAATTTGATGTCTCTAAATACTATTGTTTTTTCACAATGCGAGAAACATACATATATTCATGCAGATTCTTCATCATTTAATTTCTTTAAATATAATGTAGGGCTCTAATATTTGATGACTACACTTTGAAAAATGAAATGCCGTCTTATAGTGGACAATTGAAAAAGCCAAAATGAAATTAATAGCCCTCAGGGCAAACTGCCTCTTTGGGCTAAAGAAAAAACAGAGAGAGAGAGATTTAAGCTGTTTTATCATATATCTTGATGTAAGCAGTCCCATTTTAGGTTCCCTTTACTAATGTCATCACATTAACAGACACTAATAACTATCCTATTTCAAATCCACATGAGCTCCTTTTGGGCATATATGGATAAAATATAATATTTAAAGAGTGGACACTATCTTGTTACACCTGTTATATTATGAAAACTGATGTCAAATACAAGGTAGGTCAGCTGTTGTGACACATATAGATCATATGTTACAAGAATTTCATATAATCTGTCAATTTCAGAAAATGTTAATAAAATTTTTTACGTGTACAACAGCTCCCCCCTTTTCCAAAAAAGTTATAAATCCTGTTTCCTTCTCTAACACAGTTTTAATTTAATACGGTTTTAAAAAAATCTAGTTCTAGTACATGTGATTTGCATTTATCTAACACAGTTCAGATGACACTTTTTAAAAATGCATTCAACATAGGCCTGAAAAAATATCTCTACTGAAAGAAAAAAATTCTTAGAATTTAATATACAGGCACTTGCAATCAATTTTTCAAATTAAATTGACTATGAAAATATCATAAGATATTTTGTGCCTTAATTCTCATACCAAAAAACCCCTAAAAATTCTTCCTTTTGTTCATCAAAAACTTATTTTAATTTGTTATGTTAGGCCGGTGGTTCTCAAACCTTTTGATTCCCTGACTACATAATTCAAAATATTTAACATACCCATAATTAATAAAACAGCATTATAAGTAATGATTAAATGGAAAGATTTTGACATGAAACAGTACATTTATCTCTACTGAAATTTCACATCAGAAATGTTGTCTTCTATTTTTATTGACAGAATTTTTTATTTGTATGTAATTTGTCTTCTTTGTAAAAACAGAAACAGCTGCATATATATAATGGAAATAAAATGTGCTAAAACATTAGGACTAGCTTTAATTAACATTAAGGCTATGGAACAACCTACACATAAACCAAAGGCAGTATATTCACATAAATTCACACCCAAGAGTCTGTTAGTGGATGCATAATGGTTAGAGTCTGTTGCTAATACTTTAGATATCATTTACTGGCTCCTGTGAAGGAAACTATGAACACAGAGACCTATCTAAACTTGCAGGAGGCTTGTGAAGCTAATTTCCTAACAAAGATGCTGTATTAAGATGGCCTGCTTGAAGCTTTGAAGACAATTTACTTGTGGACTGATTTGGAACATCAACTGTAAGCCAGGCCATACTGTCTCACATGATGACTGAACTGACCACTGGTCTTCTGAAAGAGAGGGTGCCAATTCCTATTACAGATTCCACAAGTTAGTGGATAGACAGCCTCATAAAATGGCAACTGTCAGAGCAATAGAAGGTGAGCCCAGATTTAATTAATTTTTAGTTTATTTACATGAGAACCAAAATATTCAGGTATCCATACATTTTCAGTTAAATAATATCAGAAGTACAAATATGTCTCCACTGCTTTTTATCCAAATTTGGGGCATTTATTGTGAAAGAATTGTATGTTATGTTTTATTCAAAGTATTTCCATCACTAGCCACTAATTTTTCCTGTCTTTCTGACAGCATATGTATATCGCATCAGAAGAATACTTCATCTTTCGAGGTTATACACAAGTTAACCCACTTTTTGGTATCTCCATAAAATGTAAAGCACTGTTAAGACAGGCCATGCGTCATCAACTGAAATAAGTAGTAATCAAAAGGAGCAATGTCTGGTGGATACAGCATGAGGGGTGGGGAACTTCTCATTTAAGTATTTTTGATGCTATGTTATGCATTACCATGCAGGAGAATAATTTTGTCATGTTTGGAGTAGGACTGGGTGCATTTTCCTTTGAGTGCTCATCTTAAGTCTCATGAATTGTGTTCGGCAGAGAGCCCCGATAATGGTTTCATTCAGTTTGAGCAAATTATAATACATAACACCAAGTTGATTCCACCATATGATTTTATATATACAAAACATTATTTTTTTCAATGAATATTCGACTTGGTTTTTTATGTTGAAGAATGGCCAAGTGGCCCCCATGATTTCTTCTTCTTTGAGTTATTGTAGTGGATCCATTTTTTATCATCAGTGACTATACGGTGCAAACCCTTTTATTTATACATGGCAAGCAGCATTTCACATGTAAAAAATTCGCATTAAACCTTTCTCAGTTTCAGTTCATATGAAACACAATTTCCTTTCTTTTGAATCATTTTAAATGATATGAAATTGCTTTTTGAGTCACTCCTAATATAAGTGCAAGTTTTATCTGTGTTTGGTATGAATCTTCATCCAATAATGCTTCCAATTCTGTGTTTTCAAGCACTTTCATCTTTCCGTAATATTCTTTTCTTCAACATAAAATTCATCATTCTTAAACTTTTGAAACCACTCACAGCAACCTCTCTCACCTAACGCAGCCTCACGATATGCTTCTACAAGCAATTGAAGCACCTCAGCAGCATATTTCTTCAAATTACAGAAGTAATCAAAAGTTCCTGCAAATGACACTCACTTGGCTCAAAACTCGACATTTTCGTACGAAAAAAATACTTGATGCTTATACAAAATTGCTAATATTTCGAGGTTATGATGTCCAACCTTATGATATGACATTTTACACCAGACAATTGTAACCATAACTTACTGGATGCACCCTTTTTTGTCAAACAATGGAGACTTATTTGTACTCCCAACATAAATTATAATAATATTATTTAAAATGATTTTTTATTAGTGTGTTTATCAAGGGCTTCATAAACATAATTTAGCAAAAACTTTTTCATAAATATAATGTAGGAAAAAACACAAAATCACTAACTGTGTTACCTGGCTGTAATGTGAATAGTGACAATAAAGCTGAAATGTAAAAAACAAAATCAAAATATATTTAAATTCTTCATAATTTTCAGATTGCCAATCATTGGTGATTTAAGTTTTAAGAACTTGCAGACTTTTCAATTTTTTTTTTTTTTTTTTTTTTTTTTTTTTTTTTTTTTTTTTTTGGTTTTCATTTTTTTTAAGGTTTCATTTTTTTTAAAAAAATCATTAGAGCTCAAATTGTAGAGTAATTTAAAATGTATATTTTATATTTTATTGCCTAAATATGATATTACTTAAATATTTTTATTGCTTGTATTCCATAACAGTCTGCAATAAATATGAAGAATTTATTACTGTTATTAAAAATCATAGACTCTTCTAGTAATAACTATTCAGAGTTTTCCACATGTTTCTTAAAAAGAGGAGTGAAATTCAAAAGGCATGATGGCCTATGCTATAAAAGAACCTACTGCTTGTCTACAGAAAAGAATTGCATATCAGTCTGTCAAATGGTGTTTGTGTCAATGGTTCATTTATTTGATTATGGCAAAGCATGCAACAGCTATTTGCCTGAGGGAAGGGATGCCTTTGTGAAGAAATTTCTAAGAGAAATTGCCTAGTGTCCATGCCACACATGAAGGCCACCCATGCAGCATTCCAAAAACACTCATGCAGCCAGTTTGTTTGCCTAGTACTGAATCCAGGTCAAACTACCAGAATTCAGCAACTTTATCACTAAGCTGCTGGTGAGCACCAAATATTGGTCACTGGTCAGTAACAAACATACAAGAAAATTAACCTATTTATATATTTCTATAATTCTATATATCCTATCCTATTTCTATAAGATTAGATTTAATAATTTAAATCATAAAATCTAATAAAAATATTTTTGAACTACTAAACTCTTGAAATAAAATACTTACTTTTCTTTTGAGTTGCTTGCATCAGCAATCCATTTATTTCTGTTTTCATGCCACAAGTCTGTCCACTCTATTTTTAACTAAAAAAATTTCAGATAGTAAAAAAAAGTTCCTTATAGCATGTATAATCACATCAATAACTTATATTCTGTATATAAAACTTTATAAAATGAGGGAATCAATTTCTAAGAAAAATGACATCTTAGATATGATACTGGTAACAACAATGAGACCAAAAATGAAAACTGCTGAATTACATATATACAAATAAATAAATAAAAACACAATATTCAGATTTTTTTCAATGGAGGATTATACAAATATCTGAAATCAAAAATACAAACTATGAAATAAAACCAAAGCTGAAATAAAATACAAAAATTCAGGCAAATCAGATATAAAAGATAAATAAATGATAATATTAGTAAATGAAATTATAGTATTAATTAAAAATGCACCATAAGATAGAAAACAGCAAAGAAATGAAGAATACTAATCCAGCACATTTACTCAAGGGAGATTAATGTTCATGACGAAAAGGGAGTCTGAAAGAAATGCTGACACAATATCAAGTCTGAAAGAGACAGTCATGGCTTATAAAAAGATATAAATCCACAACTTCTCTCTTCAATGGACATTTAGAATATAAAAGATATTCTACCAGTCCTGTTTGTAGTAGCCAAAATGATGGAGCCAAACTTACCTTCTACCATATTTTCAGTACATTTGATTATGGCAAATGTACTGAATGCATCTTTCAATTGGCAAATGTATCTTTCAAAAATTTTACAGATATAGTTTTTAAATGTATATTTTCATACCAGAAATTTAATGGCATATCATAGGATCCAAATGGTGAATGACTAAATTAATGCTGTGTCCTTTTTAGCCAATGATTCAGCACTTGCATTATTTTAAATTCCCCAATGACCATAGATCCACTGCTAATTTAGTCTCCTTGCAGTTGTTCGATTTTTTAAAAATGGCTGATATCAGAATGTCAGCCATTTTGGGCACACCAGCAAAATACAAACTTTTAAGTTAGATAATACAACCAATATAGAGATCTGATCAGACCATTGAAGTTGTACAGCAGCTAAATATATTCTTGCTTTCTCTGGAAAAAAAAAAAAAAAGCAATTTCGCTTTCAATTTGTGGGATGTAAAAAGGCAATCTGCACATTACACCTATTCATTCATTGAACAGCGACCAATGTTTAAGCCATCAGTATACATACACATTCATTCATGTTCAAGATGTGAAACACATTGTGTAAACAACATGTAAACATACATAGTTTCGATATGCCACAAATATTAATGTCTATTTCTTTGTTCAACTGAGTATGGCAAAAAAGGCAAAAGCTAGTTTCCTAAGAAAATGATTGTTTTATAGTTCTTCTGAAAAGTATTAGCTTGCATTCTTGCTACACAGAGGAAAACACAAAAAACCTTTGCAGCCAATGCATTCAATGAGATTCAAACCCACTTTAAACTACCACTATTCAGAGGACTCTGAAAAGTGCTTTAACATTTATCCACTGATGGGTACCTGAAGATTTTAGCATTTAGCCATTGATGAATGCTTGAAGATTTTAAGCTCACCTGATTTGTAATTTTTTTTAAATACTTCCCAGGTAAATACAGTATAAAACTAATTTCTTTAACTGGGTTGCAAGCCATTACCTATAACTTATATAAAAACATTCCTACAACATGTTTAACTTTTTTTAAATAATAAGATCCAACTTGAGAGTCATGCTAGATGTTAAGCTTTTGATAACAGTTCCAAACTGCTACACAGAAGAAAACACAAAAAACCTTTGCAGCCAATGCATTCAATGAGATTCAAACCCACTTTAAACTACCACTATTCAGAGGACTCTGAAAAGTGCCTTAACATTTATCCACTGATGGGTACCTGAAGATTTTAGCATTTAGCCATTGATGAATGCTTGAAGATTTTAAGCTCACCTGATTTGTAATTTTTTTTAAATACTTCCCAGGTAAATACAGTATAAAACTAATTTCTTTAACTGGGTTGCAAGCCATTACCTATAACTTATATAAAAACATTCCTACAACATGTTTAACTTTTTTTAAATAATAAGATCACACTTGAGAGTCATGCTAGATGTTAAGCTTTTGATAACAGTTCCAAACTGCACGGTATACTGAATATTTTTTTCCAAAAGAGGACAATTCTTTCTCCTAAAAATTGATCTAACAGATCTTTTCTGTTTATATATCAGCATTTCATCAATGAGGGTTAAGTTTTACTGCCATAAATGATTAATCAGAGAACCTTATTTTGAAACATTTACAGGACCTTCATTATAAAAGAACTACAACATTAAGAGATCAGAACCAAGGTGTATTGAATAAATAAAAATCCTTTAAATTGACAAAAATCTTACAACCATTAGATTTGTCAGGTAATAAATCCTACAAAGCTGAAGTTTGAAAGCAGTGGGAGTGTTGGATGAGTGAAGGATTGCATACGTATACTGAAAGAGGTAAAATGCGTAGAGCATCTTATGAAGAAGTTGCAAAGTGGGTAGGAAGTGCGTGGAAATCGGTAAAAAAACATTGTCAATAATAGCAGGGTTCAAAGAAGCTGAAATTATATCCTTAGATAAAGAGACTGTAAACCAAGAGGATGAATGATCTGCAAGACTTGGACTTAGATCAGGATTTACTAAATCTTTTTAATTCAGATAGTGAAGAATCAGGTTGTGATAGCTTCATATGATGTATAGTTTGCTGTAATTCCTTTTGTAAGTAAAATTTAATATTTCCTTTTGTCATCCAAATTTAATATTTCATTGTTGCAGCATTTTTATAATATAGTCTGAGTATTACAAATATGGACTTCTTTAGTGGGTAAATATAAGTATATACGTGAAGGTAAATATATTTCCCACATTTCTTACCTTTAATTTATTTTTGAGTTATGGTTTCATTTCATGCATTTTTCTTAACTGGTATGTCATATATGAAGACTTTGCATCGATATGGCCCACGACGATGTCACGTGCAATTTAATTTATTGCGGCGTTTCTGTGTAATTTTAATTTTTTTCCCGCCATTTTTCTCAAGTGCGGCGTTTACGCCGATGTGGCCTTTCTTCCAGAAATTACGGTATATAAAACTGAAACTGGCAAATGTCTCATAATTCAGATCTAGAATAAACCATTTGTAGCTGATAAAAGCTGTTTGTAGTTCATTCATTTATATTTCAGTTGTGTAATGCTTCAATAAAATGGGTTTACCAGAAATTTCAGCTAGTGTAGTTAGAACCAAGACTCCCTAGGGTGTTGAGTACACTTTCCTAGTTCCTGTTAGATACTGTTGGAAAATCTCTTTGTTCAGACTACAACTGAGAGAGACTGAATACCTTAATCTTCTGATTAATAAAAGCAGTCCTCTAGAAAAATTGGAAACAAGCTCTTTGATTATAAATGAATGAGTGTTTCCAATGATTAAAGAATACACAAGTGATCACTAATTCCCTTTCTCGAACACTAGCTGATAGGGGATGGACATGCATACACACATTAAGATTGCAGGGTATTCTCAGAAAACATAATGAAATTATTCCTTGCATTAGTGATTATAATTTAGTCTTTAAACAGAAAAGGGTAGTAGTCTTTGCAGGCTGAAGAAAGAATAAAAGGAAAAATTGATTAAACCTACAGTAACCATGAAGTGATAGATCAACCTGACAGACAAAGATGCAATCTTTCCTGCTGACAGAAACAGGAATTTTGAATTTGAACAAATCACTAGAGGAAATTTTTATTTGCTGTGCGCTTGACTCAAAAACCCCTATATGAAATGATTTAAGCCTGAAAGAAAAGGATAAATTGCTGAAAGATTATGAGAGGTTTGGTAAATGCAGCCAAAGAGAAGCAGCTTTTAAAATAGAAATTTAACAAACAGCATTGTGCAATTTACTTAAGTAAAGAAATACAACTGATGAATAACCAGTAAGAAAAAAAAATCAATTGCTTCAAGCACAAAAGGGATGGAAAATCAAGAGGTGTCAAAACCGCTCTTTTAGAATGGTTTCAAGCTACGAAATTAAAAAAATTTCCAAATTCTAGAGCTCTTTTGACTACAAAAGCTGCAGAATTTGCTAAAATGCTAGGAGAAAATTTTGTGCTAACTGATGGAAGGTTCATAGGATGGAAAGAGAAAAATAACATTGTTTATTGGAAACTAAATGGTGAGAAGCAAGAGGCAGATCATCATTTGGCTGAGAAATGGATAAAAGACACTTTACCCAGTCTTATAAAAGAATAGAAGCCACACAACATTTATAACAAAGATGAAACTGGTTTTTCTTTTATAGACCACTACCTGAGTGCACATTAATGTTTAAATGCAAAACAGCAATTGGTTTTAAGAAATTAAAACGAGTTACTGTGTTACTAACATGCAATATGGATGCAACAATTAAGAAGCTGCCATTAGTTATTAAGTAGAAAACCTCAATGTTTAAAAGGAGTCAAGAATTTATCTTTAACAAGAACTCGTCAATAACAACAATTGTTTCACTGGCTTCCTTTAAAAATGGAACAGAGAACTGAAAAATGAAAAAATAGCTTTACTGTTAGGTAACAGTGCTGCACATCCCTCTGATATCATTCTGAAAAACATTAAACTAGCATTTCTTCCTGTAAATATACTTCTATCATTCAGATATTAGACCAAGGTATTATAAAAAGTTTCAAATGTAATTACAGAAAAGGTGTCGTCAAAAAAAGATAAACAAAATTTTATCTTGTGAAAATGTAAGCACTTTGAAGGAGATGTCTTTACTAGAGGTTACGCATATTGCAGTCCACGCATGCGAAGCAATTTCGCGAAACACAGAAATTACAATATACACGAATTAACACAGAAATTACAATTACACTTAATTATAACAATATACACGATTCTTTTAATTTGCTGCAAATTTATCATTTAGATTTGAAGTTATTTGCATAATTTAACACTACATAACACCAGTTAATATGTATTATTAATATGCCGCTGAAAACTAGGATAAAATGATTTAAGTTACATGATTATGTTTAACATACACACACTGGCCAATGAATTAGAAACCTCTGAGATTTTCATTTGAATGCGTGCTAGGGATGAAGTATTGCAATTTTTTTTATGATGTGGGTTACACATGATTAGAATGCTAATATAAGAAAGGTGTAAGAGTGCTTTTTCATGATGAATGAAGTAAAATGGGAAAAACGACAAATTTTTCAATATTTGAAAAAGGGCTTATTTATTATAGAAAATGTGGTTTTTATTTAGGAGAAGCAACAGAGAAATTGCAAACTATTTCTAATAATTTGGACATCAGTGAGGGAAATTACGAAGATTCCTTTTTAGAATACATTGCAATTGCTGATAATATTGAGACTGCATCTGATATTATAGAAAGTGTTAAAAGAGCTGCAGAAGCTGACAGTGCAAATGATACTGAAGAAAACGACTACACACTAACATCAGCTGACTAGAGAAAAACACTGTAAACTCTAAGAACTCTTGAATTAAAAGGTGGAGATTAGAAAAGCTACCAATGGTTTTATAAACTTGAAAATACAATTGAAAGACTGTTGATGAACAATGTGAAAAAATACAGATAGAGCAGCTCTTTGTAAAAGTTTAAAATTTCATCAGGTATGTAATTATAATTTTTTTAAATAAAAAATAAATTTCCAAGTTTCATGAATAGTTTAATTTTAGCATTCATTTTTAATTAACAATTAAAGTATTAAATATTAGATTAACTGTTAGTTACTATATTACTAAATAAGTTCAAAGTTGATACTGTAATTTACAACACAGAAATTACCATTTATTAAACTCACCCACTTAATAAACTCAAATAAGCTTGAAATGGAAGTGATTTTAGTAAGTGGTGGGTACTGTACATCCAAACGAAGATTATTTCACATTTCTCATTTAATTACCAAAATCAATGCAAACATTTATGGTAAAATATCATAAAATGTACCTTTTCCACTGCAATATCATTTTTCAAAATATCCAAATATGATGACTTTTCTAAAAGATCTTTTACAATATTGTACAAAATCGAAGTATTTTTCTTGAATATTTGGGAAGATTCCTCATTTTGCAGATCATTTAATAATATCAGGAAATTTTCAATCTGATAAAAAGAAGAAAATATTTTGTGAAAATACTATGATATATATGATATAAATAGTGAAATTCTTAATTATAACAATATACATGATTCTTTTAATTTGCTGCAAATTTATCATTTAGATTTGAAATTATTTGCATAATTTAACACTACATAACACCAGTTAATATGTATTATTAATATGCCACAGCTGAAAACTAGGATAAAATGATTTAAGTTACATGATTATGTTTAACATACACACACTGGCCAATGAATTAGAAACCTCTGATATTTTCATTTGAATGCATGCTAGGGATGAAGTATGCAATTTTTTTTATGATGTGGGTTACACATGATTAAAATGCTAATATAAGAAAGGTGTAAGAGTGCTTTTTCATGGTGAATGAAGTAAAATGGGAAAAACGACAAATCTTTCACTATTTGAAAAAGGGCTTATTGTTGGTGCCCATTTAGCAGGTGGCCTCGATTTCAAAAACAGTAAATCTCACTGAGTTCTCAAAAGCAGCCATATCAAAGGTTTTTCAAAAGTTGGAATCAGAACTCACAGTCCTTCTCTAGAAGACATAACTGCAGTTCGAGCACAATTTTCCAAAAGTGTGATCGGCGGCGTCTCTGACGAATTGTACAGCAGAACAATGACTCTACAGAGCTTCAAATGACACAGATTGTCAACCAAGGCTCTTCTCAACAGATATCAGCTCGAATCATGCGCAGAGAATAAGTAATGCATAGTCGGGTGCTTGTGAGAAAAACCACTCATTTCTGCCTGACATGCAAGATTTCATTTGCAGTGGTGTCAGGAAAGACACTGGACATCTAAGGATTGGAAATGGGTAATGTGGTCGGATGAGTCACACTATACCTTATTTTGAACCGATGAAAGACATCAAATTCGGCAAGAACCCCATGAAGCCATGAATCCATCTTGCCTTACTTGCACTGTGCAAGGGTCTGGTGGGAGTATCATGATATGAGACATGTTCTGCTGGCATGGAAGCAGTGCCCTGGTGTTCCTTGAGGGTTCCTTCCCTGACCGCCACATAACACAGATATTAACCCCATATAAAATGCATGGGGTAGGGTGAAAAGATGCATCCAACAGTACTCTCCTCCTTTCCATATCCATAGATTTAACAAATAATATTAAGTTTCTTTAAATTTTTCAGAAATTACTTTTTTAGGACTGAGATTAATATAAGCACATGTTGGAAATACACATAAATTTAGTAAATAACTAAACTAATGTAATTCAGTCTTGGCTTCCTCAGTGTGTGATAGAAGCAAGTCATAATTTAGCATAACAACATGTCTCTAGTCTCCAATCTTATGATACATTGCTCATAGTGTATAATGGATACTAACTAAACTTTATGACTGTCATCATAAAGTTTAGTTAGTATCCGTTATGCACTATGAGCAATGCATCATGCAATGCAAAAGTTTCCAATTAGTGGAATTTGTGAAGAAATTCGGAGAAATGGTAATAAATGAAAATGATTACAATAGAAGTTCTCATTTCCAATCACAACTTCCCAATCATCAGTCAGTGGACAGCAAAATCTGTAATGTGGTTCCAAATCCAGAAAATAATGATAGTTCTATAGTGAAGAAAGTGAGAAAAAGGCTGCTGAGAGTGAACTTTGATTCACAATTTAGTGGGAATTCTGAACGCAGCACTTGCAGGATTTGAACAATGAAACATTTGTAATTAAGCAAGAATTTATGTTTATCAATAAAATTAAAAAGAAAATATCAGCACATAAAAATGAAGCAAATTATATTGAAAGAAATGTTTAATAAAGCAAACAAATAAAAGCTTTTTTTTTTTTTTCATAAACTCTGATTTCTTTAAGGTTTTAAATGTGTCACTACTTCATAAACAACTATTCATATTTTTAATTTTAATAATACCGACATATCATCTTGTAACATTTAAACTGATGATCTTGAATCACCAAAGTAAGTTCCAATGAGTCCAGATCTTGGCTATTGTATTTTGAATTTTTTAATATATGACTGTATTTTTGTATCTGTTATTGCATATTTACACTGGGCAATGAATTAAACAGAGATCAATATTTTATTGGACCACCTTTTGCATGGATAACTGCTCTGATTCATTTGGACATCAAGTCTACATGCTTCTGAAGTGCATTTACATCCAGAGATTACCATGCATTGGCTATGCAACATTTTAGGTCTTGTAAATTAGATGGAAGAGGAGAGTACTGTTGGATGCATCTTTTCACCCTACCCCATGCATTTTATATGGGGTTAATATCTGTGTTATGTGGCGGTCAGGGAAGGAACCCTCAAGGAACACCAGGGCACTGCTTCCATGCCAGCAGAACATGTCTCATATCATGATACTCCCACCAGACCCTTGCACAGTGCAAGTAAGGCAAGATGGATTCATGGCTTCATGGGGTTCTTCCGAATTGATGTCTTTCATCGGTTCAAATAAGGTATAGTGTGACTCATCCGACCACATTACCATTTCCAGCCTTAGATTTGCATAATTTAACACTACATAACACCAGTTAATAGTATTATTAATAATCCAACTGAAAACTAGATAAAAATGATTTAAGTTACATGATTATGTTTAACATACACACACGGCCATGAATTAGAACCTCTGATATTTTCATTGAATGCAGCTAGGGATGAAGTATGCATTTTTTTTATGATGTGGTTACACTGATTAAAATGCTATATAAGAAAGGGTAAGAGTGCTTTTTCATGTGAATGAGTAAAATGGGAAAAACGACAAATCTTTCATATTTGAAAAAGGCTTATTGTTGGTGCCCATTTAGCAGGTGCCTTCGATTTCAAAAACAGTAAATCTCACTGGAGTTCTCAAAAGCAGCCATATCAAAGGTTTTCAAAAGTTGGAATCAGAACTCACAGTCCTTCTCTAGAAGACATAACTGCATTCGAGCACAATTTTCCAAAAGTGTGATCGGCGGCGTCTCTGACGAATGTACAGCAGAACAATACTCTACGAGCTTCAAATGACACAGATTGTCAACCAGGCTCTTCTCAACAGATATCAGCTCGAATCATGCGCAGAGAATAGTATGCATATCGGGTTGCTTGTGAGAAAACCACTCATTTCTGCCTGACATGCAAGATTTCATTTGCAGTGGTGTCAGGAAAGACACTGGACATCTAAGGATTGGAAATGGGTAATGTGGTCGGATGAGTCACACTATACCTTATTTTGAACCGATGAAAGACATCAAATTCGGCAAGAACCCCATGAAGCCATGAATCCATCTTGCCTTACTTGCACTGTGCAAGGGTCTGGTGGGAGTATCATGATATGAGACATGTTCTGCTGGCATGGAAGCAGTGCCCTGGTGTTCCTTGAGGGTTCCTTCCCTGACCGCCACATAACACAGATATTAACCCCATATAAAATGCATGGGGTAGGGTGAAAAGATGCATCCAACAGTACTCTCCTCTTCCATCTAATTTACAGACCTAATGTTGCTAGCCCATGCATGGTAATCTCTGGATGTAAATGCACTTCAGAGCATGTAGACTTGATGTCCAAAGAATCAGAGCAGTTATCCCTGCAAAGGTGGTCCAATAAATATTGATCTCTGTTTTCTAATTCATTGCCAGTGTAATATGCAATAACGATACAAAAATACGTCATATATTAAAAAATTCAAATACATAGCCAAGATCTGGACCATTGGAACTTACTTTGGTGATTCAAGATCATCAGTTTAAATGTTCAGATGATGTCGGATTATTAATTGAAAATAATAGTTGTTATGAAGTAGTGACATTTTAAACCTTAAAGAAACAAGTTTTGAAAAAAAAAAAAGCTTTTATTTGTTTTGCTTTATTAAACATTCTTTCATTATAATTTGCTTCATTTTTATGTGCTGATTTTCTTTTTAATTTTATTGATAAACATAAATTCTTGCTAATTACAAATGTTTCATTGTTCAATCCTGCAAGTGCTGCGTTCAGAATCCCACTAAATTGTGAATCATTCTGCAGCCTTTTTCTCACTTGTTTTTCACACTAATATTGAATTGGAACATTTGCTGTACACTGCCTATTGGATGACTTATTGTAGTTCATATTTTTAATTCCACAAACTATGGGAAATTTTGCATTTCAGATCCATGTCATTTGCAATAAACATTTATGATGACAATAATGTGTTTAGTGGAGAGCAATGTATGTGGATTGAACAGGTGGCTTGTTAATAAATCCTGCCAAGATGAAATTATGGATAGTTAGTTTTTCTAACCCAAACATTGCTTATAAATTGTCTGTTTGTTTGGTGATGCTAACACGAAAATGAAACTAATATATTTAATATTATTTATAATAATGAACATTATATATTTTAACTAGGAACCATTATTTTAGAGAAAGTTATATTCACAGTCTTCAATTGAATTGAGCACGAAATTATGTCTATCTATAAATTTATATTTAAAAAAAAAAAAAAAAAAAAAAGCATTAGTACAAAAAATGAGAAAATTAAACAACTTACATTGACGGAAATATTTTATAAAGCAAACAAATAAATACTGAGCTTTTTTTTTATGAAAATTTATCTGATTCCTTTAAGGTCATTAAATGGTTCATTATTTTATAAATAAAAATTATGCACATTTTTAATTTTATAATTTCTATATGACATCTTACTAGATTTAAACTGCTGCTCAAATATGCAGAAAAATCCCAAATCCTGCATCACCCATGTCCTGATGAATACAGATTTCGAATTTTGTACTATATTATTTATACTGTATATATTTTGCACTGTACGAGTTAAGTGGCAGAAATATTTTTTTCATCATTTAATGTTATTGAAATAACTTTGTCAAACATTATCACATTAAGCAGTGCTACTATAATACTTGATGTAAAAAGGGATTTGGGATTATAATACTTGATATAAAAAGGGAAATCTTTAGGGATTGAAATATTTGATGATAGCAAAGCAAATTAGGGACAGCTGCCTTTCTGCATGGCTTTCTAAACGATTAAAATGACCCATATTTATATTATATAAGGGGAAACCACAGTAACCTGATGCAGTCAGTCAATTCATCTGCAAGAAACAGAATGAGAGGTGCTCGATTAGTGCTTCATGGATTAAGTCTTACAAGCCTTTGTCATTATAATTAAATATGTCATTATAATTACAAGTCTCAAGTCATTATAATAAAGGGCATTTCATATTTAATGGGACAAAAAGAATAGCATAGAACAAATTCTGTAATTGATTTATTAAGCTGAAACAAACTAATTCTGAAACTGCAATTACACAAGTTTTATATGGCAACAGCGAAAAATCTTCAGGTTATAAAATCGCTGATAGAAACACTGTTAATCAAAATTATGCCATTACTACAAGAGAAAGTATACTATGTTTTGCAATATGACAAACATCATCATTTATCATCCTTCAAACACATTTTCATACGGAATTAGGTAAAGAACCACTGCAGCATCACAACATCAAACGGTGGGTGAAGCAACTTCAGAACATGGGCAGCCTTTTTAAGGAAACCAGACCAGGACAAACAGCAGCCCAAACCAAAGTCGTTGAAAAAATTCATGAAACATTTTTACAAAGTTCAACAAAATCAACACATCATAGAAGTTCTAAAATCTACGAGCCATCTGTAACAGTGTGGTGCATGTTACGGGAATGTCTACAGTTCCACTATATACTTTTCAGATGGTGCAGGCATTAAAACTTTCTTACAAGCCATTGTGTTAAGCTTTCTGAGAGAATTTGCAAGATAAGCTGGAGGTAGATGGTTTCATGAACAGATTTGTGTTTACGAATAAAGCCACTTTTCACACTTCTGGCAAAGTTAATTGCTATAATTTACGACTATGAGGCACAGAAAATCCACATACAGTATAGTACATGAGCGTGATTCTTCAAAGGTGAATGTTTTCTGCACCGTTTTCAACATTCCATTTGCATTTTTGTTCCTTTTTTCTTCATTAAAAATTCAATTAATGGGCACATTTACCAAGATATTAGTATCAGATTGGTTGTTTTCTCAGTTGGAGAAAGAAGTTCCTGGCTTCATTCTGAAAAAAAAAAAAAAAATGCTAATACCTGAATGATAAGCTACCCTATCACTAGATTCGCCGAGCTTTATTGACCAGTGAGATCTCTAGATAAAACAGGATTTTTTTCTATGCAATTTTGTTAACAACAAAGTATTTGTGCACCATTTCGGCAGGACTTATGGAAACCTAAGCAGCAGATAATAGAAGTGTTCGAATCATTAACAAAGTATATTCTATTGCGAGTGTGGCAGGAACTGGAACACTGCTATTACAGACATTTGCTACTGACAGACATTTATTCAATGGAGAGGCACACACAGAACATCTATAGAAAACTGGGTAACTATAGTTTCATTGTAAATTTCATTTATCAAAATTACAGCATTCACAGGTTCCTTTTTGTCCCATTCAATATAAAACACCTTTTATTTAACAGTCAAAGTAAATAGTTAAAAATAATTAAAATTCCACATTCAAAATTATATTAATTTATATATTTTTGTCACATGTTTTATGTCCCATTGTGAATTCCCTTTCTCATCGCTCACTCCCACTCTCATGCCTTCTTTCACTTTTTCGTGTTGAATTTCTCAACAATTATAATAGAATAATTATTACTATCTGAGGTTTCTGTTTGGAATTTTAATCTTAAGTTAAGCTGTTCCAAGTATTTGCAAGACTGACTGGAAGTTTTTCACTTTGGTGCAGCTTGCTTATAATTTCTAGCCATTCTTAAGAATAAAATTGGACAGACCTTTTGCAAAGTACAGCATAAAGTAAGAGACAAATAAATAAAGTTTTTAAAAAGGGATAATTTGATAAGCACAAACTCACTCTATCAACAGAAAAAGTTACAAGCTGAAGTAGCTTTTTATTTAAAGGATGAGCAGATAAAATCTCAACAATATATTGCTTTACTTCAGTATCTTGATACACAGCAAAACATGACATCAACAGATTACCAAGCTAAAGTAAATAAAAAAGCAAAAGTTTATTTTACTTTGTTCAGTACTAAATTTCATTGAAAAACTAAATTCTATATCTGAATATTTAAATTTAAAATGAATTTAATATGAACAAGATAAGCACAACAAAAATAAGTACTTATGAATATATAGTCATTCAAAAATAGTAAAATACTTAAAAATTTCTTTAAAACTTTAGAGAAAACATTTTCATAACAAATGTTCTTCAGGATAATTTTTTTTATTTAGAGTACGTGAATCAAAAAACAATAAAAATTTTATAACGAGTTATATATATAGAAAGAGAAAGAAAGAGAGAGAAGTACAGACAGAAAGAAGGATACAACTGAAATGACATAAAACAAAGTACAGCTGTTAATGCAATGAAAGTAAAACATATAAAAACTTCCATAGATCAGAACCTTGGAAAATTACCAATATGATGAAAATTAATATATTTATTAACTAGGAATTCCATTATTTTAGAGAAAGTATTAATTCACAAGTCTTCACTACAAACTAACCTGAAGCTGCAAAGATTAATAATCACATCAAAACATTCGCAAGAGGAACGTTTTCATGCAAAACATTCTATGAGAGAAACTCATTAATGTTCATGTTATAGAGAAAAACCAACTGAATTGAAAGCCTTCCATGCAAAAAATCTTAATGATACATACATGCATATTTCAGCTTTTATATTTTGTGGGAAAGCTTTCTAAAATGTTTAAAAGGCATATTACACAAGCTTCAAATTAAAAATTTATTTAACACAAATTTGATAAATACCTGCTTTTTGAGAGAATCCTTCATAGAAAACATAAGCACTGAATATCTTGATTTAGCAACACATTTATCCTGTAAGTTAGCATTATTAATTATTATTAGTTCCGAGATGAAAAACCACAGCTTAATCAAATTTGAGGTAAGACTAAATTATTGCCCCCCTCCTCAAAAAAAGATGATTTTACACATAGACAAAAAAAAAAAAAAAAAAAGTTTTATAATACATCTATGAGCACAATTATTAAACAAATTATATAATTTATTCCTAAAATTATGCATTATGTTTATTAATTTGTTGTTTTGATATTTAGAAGGTTAATTAAGCAAATGAAAAATTCTTATGAGCAAATAATCATTAAAGATAACACTTAAATTTCTATTTAACATTCAATACTTAGGCAAGCTAATCTTTAATTAAAAAAAAAGGAGGAATAATTAAATATTTTGAGTAGAAGGAATTTCTTTTCCAACAGGTCTTCGAATACTGTTTCAAATGGTAGCAAAGCAGTAAAAATTTACGTAAGATAAGTGATTAAGATCTGCATTAGTGTGTGTATACTTAGCTTACTGCAATAATGTAGACTTTAACTCTGGAAACTAAATTTAAAATGTTTACTTATAGTGGAAATATAGATATTAAAGAAACTTACAGCATATAAATCTTATAAGCTTCTTGAATTATTCTTACACCAGTAAAATATAAAAGAAAACTCTTTTTTTCATAAATCTTGTGCACTGTTCCAACATTTCTCTATTTTCAAGATACAATTCATTGTTTATCAAGGTAGCTATGATCTTAGAACTTTACTCAATGCAGAATCATATGTATTAAATTACAGAGATTTTTTAAGAGCATACGAAATATGCATTAATTAAATGGTAGAAATTAAACAAAAGACACAGAATTTCTATTTAAAAATAATCACCATGGCAATTGCAAGTCCTTTAATAAGAAAACAAAAGAACTGTTTAATGAATTCCTTTTCTTTCCCATATATTTTGATTCTGGGATCTAAGAAATAAAAATACATTAATTGAGCTAAATGAAGCATAAAACTCATCAATTAAATATTAAATAACTGCAAATAATATTAAAAAACATACCTCTGTAAATGATGAAATGAGTAGCAGCTTCTATTAAAACTTCAAGCCTGTCCACAACTTCAGACACAGAGACTTCTCGAAAGGCTTTTTGAACATCAGACTGAACAGAAAGTTTTTCTGGTTCTGCTGCCTCTTCTGCATCTGTTTCAAATGAAAAGTCATGAGGAGTCATTGACAGTGAAGAAAATGACCCTAAAGTATCTTGAAAATCCATGAGAAGTTCCCATATAGATGCTTCATCTTGAATGAGAGTAAAGTTGCATAATTAGCATGTTGTTTGGAGTTAATCAGTTTTTAATTAATTAAAAATAAGAACTCAACCCCTTTCTAAATGATTTTGATTCACAATTTCTTTTGCAGTCACTCTGCAAGAATTTTATCCAACAGGTACAAAGTGGATATCCACTTATCAATTGGATATCTAAAAAGGTATATTTCTTGACATGCATAAAAATAACAAACTTTCACATTATTAAGTAAAGACCACTTTTCTGGTTTGAATCAAATATGGACCATTAGACAGAAAGGGATTAAAATCTTTAATTGGATATATATTTTTTCCCTATAATTATAAAAAAGAAAATGTTCACGTTAATTCTGAAGAGTACATGTAATATTCTGCAATTTTTGTTATTTTAATAACAAAGTATAATAATGTGCAAAATTACTACTTCTATGCATGAGTATTATCTGTGGTAATCTGTATTAGAATTAACTCCTAATTAACAGGGTCAGATTTATTGGTTGTGGTTAAGTTTGATTTGTCTAAAAAAAACTTAAGTTTGTTTATAGCAGAATGATGGAAAAAATTACTGTCATAAACCATAAGCATTGGAAATGCAGAAAGCAGAAGAAAATGTGTTATGATAACAGCCATACTAGCAGACTGATTATCTCATTATTTAGAAATCCTGTTTTTATCCATTACAGTATAAAATTTAATTGTACATAATCTGAGATACATTAACATTGTTAAATCCTCCATTAAAATAAATTGCTAAATCATGAAAATCAATCAAATTTACAGCTATTAAATTTTTCTGTTGATTTCTATAAAAATACAAGAATAATAAAAACAAAAACATTCTTCACTCTGTTTAAAGGTATGTTCTTGTTTTGAATGTTGATTTAATTTACATAGCCAAAGGAAATTATTCTCCATATAAAACTATTTAACAATACACATAAACTGTTAGGAGTAGTGTAGTAGTATTTTTTTGTTAATTAGAAATGGGTTGTTCATCTTTTCTATATTTTCCTAACTGCTGTCAGAATAGCTGTAATTCTGAGTTAACTGCAGATTTTGCCTCAGTATTACCCTGATTAATCAGTTTCAGTTTGGTTTGATTATGACAAAGCACTTGAGGGTTATATGCTTAAGGGAAGGGATGTCTTTGTAAAGGGCTTTCTAAAGGAAATTGGCTCATATACATGTTACACATGTGTAAAACCATGAAAACGCCCATACAACCAGCCCAATTGCAGGGATTTGAACTCCAGACCAAACTACAAGTGTTCAGTTATTTCATCACTTGGCTACTGGTGGGCCCTTGATTAATCAGGTATCTACAAGGATACAATAATTCACAGTTTCGAGACGAATAAGACAATGCTAGAAAGCAAAATACAAAAAACAGTTATATAGATAAATGGGGATTGCCCAAATGAAAAAAGGGCACATGTGGTTGCTTCAGAATGACTGCAGCTATAGCAGCACCAATAAACAGGGATATAAAGGGCCATAAGAGATATGCATCACATATGGCATTCAACAGCGAAACTTGTTCATGGCAGGTGAACAAAAGTAAAGTCGTGCTATACATGGATGTGCTCAGATTGGAACAAAAAGCAGTAGTACTGTTTTTAATTGCCGAAGGTGAGCAGGATGCAGACGTCTAACAGCGAATGGTGGCAGTCTATGGAGAGAACAGTTTTGGTCGAACAGCTGTGAACAAGTGGTGTAAAAGTTTTCATGAAGGGCATCAAAATGATATTGGATCTGCCAAGACTGGGTGAAGCAAACACTGTAATTACCAACAACTCTATTGCCGCTGTTGATATGAGCAGAGATAATATGAGAGCTCAGACCCATAACATCAGTGATAAATTCAATCTGAGTAAAGGAACAGTTCACACCATCATCCATCAACATATGTAGTCCAGTAAAATGTGTGCGGATTAGGTATAAAGCACCTTACCCTTGATCATCAGAAACAATGAATGGGCCTCAGTCTCCATCACTTGATCCATTATGAGGCATTTCTGGAATGCATTGGTGCAGGTGACGAGTCCTGGTATCACTATACACCCAAATCCAAGAAAATGAGCACGCAACGGAGACAAACATCATCTCCTCCACCCAGGAAATCGAAAGCAATGATGACTGCATGAAAAGTGATGCTTTCATTTTTCTTCGATTGGCATGGATCACTCTTAATTGATTTCCTGTCACAAGGGAACACTATCAAATCAGTACAATACTGCAGAAATACTGGAACACTCGCCGTACAGTCCAGATGTGTCCCCTGTTACTTCCACATCTTTGGACCACTTACGAGAGCATTACGGGGGAAACCTTTTCATCTGAATGATTAAGCGAAGGAAATTGCGCAGGACTTCCTCAAGAATCACTACAGCAAAGGCACAGACCTGCTGTCAAAATGATGGACCTGTATGACAATGCCCATGGTGATTTCTTTTGATTTCCAATAAAGGTATTCTTTTTATTCAACTTGTCTGCTTTTCATTTGGGCAACCCTCATACATACTTAAGATTTACATATACACACAGGATGGTCATAATGAAAATTTCCCAATATACGAAACCCTAGCAGCCTATCCACTCAATGAATCGAAATGAAATTTCAGGTATTGTTATTTGAAGATATGCATTCAATACTGAGATGATTTAAAACAACAGAGCTATCACATTTACAGCAAAAAAATTTCGAAATTTCCGAAAGGAAGCATCCACTTTTTCCTAGCTCAAATTGATCAGCACACTGAAAATCATAAATGGTGTTGGAATGATACATGTATGACAAAATTTACTGGCAACATTTGCAAGGAACAGCATTGTAAAGGACCAATGACAACATAAAAGAAGAGAGGGAGAAAAACTTTTATTGGAATTTCAAGTTTTCAATGTGCCCATCTTCGTAGAGAATAATGCATTCTATGTGCGAGATTATTTACAACAATGACAAATGTAACATCGCAGGAGGAATCTATATAACTTCACATTTTATAGTGTCTTTCATTTCTGACAAGTTTTGCAGATTTGATGTATACACCTTAGATTTCAGACAACTTCAGAACCAAAAATCCATCGAAGTGAGGTCGGGGGCCGAACAAAACTAACTAAAAAATCACATTGATCATAAGTCATTCTGATCACGACAACATGGTTAAATCTCTGAAAATTACGGGTTTTAAACCTTTTTAAACTTTACACCTTTAAACTTTCTAGATGCCGGACAAACTAACTAAAAAACAAATATCATATGAACAATTGTATAGTGGTAATGGGTTAGTACAATAGGGCACGTCATGAAGCCCACTAGGTAAAAACAATAATCCAAATTCAATAAAAGCTCCATGTTTCTTAAAAGCCTCCCGGCTCAAACAAATGGCGTGACATGACAAACCACAAAAATAAATAAATAAATAAATAAATAAATAAAATAAATAAGATAAACGAGAACAAAAATGCAATTAAATTTTAAACATACCCATTTATTGATTTCTAGAATAATATTACATTACTAAATATTGGATAACTGATCATAATCCTACCACATATTTTACTAGAAAAGTAACACATAATGTCACACAAAATTAGAGCTTCAATAATCAAAACATTTTTTTTTACAAATTAAGAGGTGTAACATATTTTTAATCCTCCAAATAAATGGTTCTCATTAATAATAATTAACATTTTCTGACTCACAAACTCAGTAGGTGAAACAAATTTTAATCATTCTAAAACTAGCCATCACTTGAAATAATAAATCACTTCTCAATGTTACTAACTAGCTATATTTTATTTATATAATTAATGACAATATATACATGGTAGATAAATCATTATTATCTGTTCCACCAAGGCCTTGGGAAAACTAAGAAAAGAGAGAAAATAATCTTAAAAATTTTCACTCACAGATGGAAGACAGTTTTTCCAGGTAGCAGGATCCTTTGTGTCCAATCCACAGGAAAATAAGCCAAGCTCATTTTACCTTCTGTCTCAACCCTTTCGGAAGCATCTAAAATTATTAGAAATCACGAGTGGTAACTACAGTCTAATAATTCTTTAAACAGCCAGGAATCGCGTTATCTGTCCATTAGGTGGGAACCAATAGTCCAATTTAGAAGGATCTTTATTTCAATTCAATAACAGGTAGCTGAATATACACAAGTTTTAGCACGATCACTTGCATCATCGTAGCAGCAAATCAACATTTTATGCTGAATGTTTCAGAAAAAGGCTCTTGGAGATAAACCGGGGATTCGGGTGAAGAGAGAAAAATCTTTGCTAAATTTTCTTGGTAGTTTTGCTCTGTATTTCGCACTAAAGTAGAAATAAGCTCTCAGTCAAATGCTCTTTGCAGCTCATACATCTCGCACTAAAGTAGTAATCAGCTCTCAGTAAAATGCTCTTTGTAAAATGCTCTTTGCAGCTAGTGCATGTTTCTCTAAACATCTCACAGGAAAATGTTCTTTGCATCTCTCACATAAAACTTTTAAACATCTCGCAGAAAAGAATGCATCCACTAGAGCAAGGGGGGGAATGCAACACAAGCCCTCTTGCTCAGGAAGCCCACAACAGGGCAAAATGCCCCTCAATTTCTCTTTCACATCGTGGCTGCTCATAATTCACTTAAATCAGACTCCGCTACAACCATAATTGCAGCCTGCTGGTTCACGTCGCTCGCGAGAGCATGACCCGCAAGGGGTCAAGCCCTCATTCTTTTTCTCCTTTTCCTTTTAGCTCGAAAAATCAGAGTCTGAATCAATTCTAAGAAGGTGCAAGCACCTAAGTTCGTTTTCTCCCCCCCCCCCCCGAAAATTTCATAGGCTTACCAAAAAAATCATAAAATTAATTCTCACCAATTTTACCTAATCTATAACTGAGAAATTTTGCCCCCCACAATGAATCAAAACAAGGCAATCCGGACAATGCAGTCGTGGCCATCTGCACTCTCAACGTGGGAAGTAAGGTGGACCCCCCAACTAACAAGCGG